TCAAGATGATGGACGACACGATGTACAAAAGATCTCTCAGGTTGGCAATGGAACCCAGCCGTCTCTGCTTTCCCAAGTAAGCAATGACACAGATACCTACCTAGAACATGATGGGGCAAGTACCTGGCGGATCGGAGTAGGTAAGTTACGGAGGTTCTATGCCTCTTTGGCAGGTGCATCCAGCATCGACACTGCATTTCCAGCAGCCGTTTGTTCCCCCTCAGCGTCTGGGGCCCCTGTTTCCTCCCCCAAGCCTTCTGCGCCATTCTGCTGGGATCGTGGCGGCGCCTCGGCCGTTGATTCGCCCGAACAGCACGCAATTTGTCCCGTCCGCCACCCAGCCTCCAGGGTCCAGCGCTCGACTTTTGCGATCCATTGCTTTCCGGGGCCATGCCAATCTCCAATCTCCGTGAAGACTTTCCGACTTCACTTCCCCCAGCACCCGATATCGCTGGCATCCTCGATATCTGCGCCGGAGAAAGACACGGTTTCGCCTGCCATCCTACTTGACGAGCTGCTATCTTTTGCGACTATCAGTAGCCGAGCTGCCATACGCCATCGGTAGCCGAGTCCGCCGTGTGACGTCCCCGCATCACTTCCCACGAGCACGCGATCTGTCCTCCGCAACTTCGCGATCTTCAATACACTTCTCTAGAGACATTGTCGCGCATTGTACAAAATGTCCCAACCCGCAGCAGCAGCTGGCGCTCGCCCTGCTGGCCAGCAGCAGGAGCAAGGCGTGAGTACTTTGCCCATCGCCCAACGCGAATTGCGCCAAGAGGCCTCCCACTAATGTACCATAATTGTAGGGCATAAGCTTGACGCAAAAGCTGGCACTTGGAGCTTCCATGTACTTCGGCATGAACTTGCTCATGAACAACGTGTTCTCCAAGACTCAATCCGGTACCCAGGTCAAAGATGCCGAAGGCAATGTTGTGAACGTGCCCGCGAATACCGAGGACATTCCGCCATACCTGCTCCGCCCCAAGGAATTGGACGAGGGTGCGACCTGGAGCCAGATCCCGACCAAGCTAGCACCGATATGGCCCATGGATAGCTACATCGACGTGACCGTCACTCTTTCCGATACCTTTGTTCCGATCCCTCTGGCCCAGACGCCCCCGGAAAAGGTTGTTCTGAAGGAGGAGAAATTCAAGATTGGCAACTACAGCGAAAAGCGCTCTATTGATACCACCATCGAGGTGCCGCCCTCTGTGCAGAACAATGGCACTCTTTGGGGTCACTTCTACGTTTCACTGCCCGGTAGCCAGCCCGATCCTCATGTGGAGACCTACGACCCAGCCTCCGCCTACTACTTTGCGTTCCCTCTCACCCAGTACATCCCCAAGAAGAAGGAGTTCAAGACCAGATCCCTTCTTGAGGGCAAGGCCGAGGAGGAGGTAGAAGAAGTGGCCGAGGAACAGGAGACCGGTCCTATCATTGCCAGTTACTACCACCCGAATGCCAGCTTCTCCATCATTCCCAACACTGGAGTGCTCGATTACCGCCAGACCCATCCCGCGATTCGCCAATTCCTCCAGGTCGAGCCGACTGGTGCCAGAGATGGCTCCGGCAAGCATTCTTGGTATTGTAAGTTGCATCTTGGTTCATGTTCACGAGCATAACTAATTGATAACAGACCCTATCCTGTTTGTCAACACCTTTTGGCAACTCAAGAGTCAAATGATCCTGCTCAATGACACAGTCACATCTGTTCCTTTGCACATTGACTTGAACAACATGCGTTCATGGCAATTCAACACCCTGGCCGCGATTGAGGCCAGTGCCAAGGAGTCAGCACGTCAGGCTGCTTACGGTGGATCGCTCCCCGGTGGCGGCGACGGCTCCGAGATTGAGATGGTCAAGGAAATCTTTGGTGACACGAACCCGATTCTCCTCGGTATTACCATCATTGTCAGTATTGCGCACATGATTCTGGAGACGCTCGCTTTTGGTTCCGACATTGCGCACTACCGCAAGAAGAAGGACAACGTTGGTATCTCTGTCCGCTCCATTCTGGCGAATGTGTTCATGCAGTCCGTTATCCTGCTTTACCTTATCGACAACTCGCAAAACACCAGTTGGATGATTCTGGGTGGTCAGGGTATCGGCATCGTTATTGAGTTGTGGAAGATCACCACCATTGTCAACGTTGCAATCAAGGCTGCCCCACCAGGCTCATTGCTACCATTTAAAATCGTCGTGGAGGACAAGCACAAGCTTAGCGAGACGGAGGAAAAGACCAAGGAGTACGACGAGATTGCCTTCAAGTACATGTACATGGCTGGTGTGCCTCTTCTCATCGGCTACGCCATCTACTCGCTGGTCTACGAGACGCACAAGTCTTGGTACTCGTACATCATCGCCACACTCGTCGGATCGGTTTATGCTTACGGCTTCCTCATGATGGTTCCTTCGCTTTACATCAACTACCGACTCAAGAGCGTTGCCCACATGCCCGGCAAGGCCATGATCTACAAGTTCCTCAACACCTTCATCGACGACCTCTTCGCATTCACCATCAAGATGCCCTTCCTTCACCGTCTGTCCACTTTCCGCGACGATATCATCTTCTTCATCTACATCTACCAACGCTGGGCATACAGAATCGACTACACTCGTGTTAACGAGTTTGGCCAGGGTGGCGAGGATGGAGAAGAGGACGATGCGGCCAAGGCCAAGGCTAAGGAGCTGCTTGAGAGCGACACCACTATTGAGAAGGTGAAGCAAGTGGCAGGTAAGGCCACAGGTGCTGACACCGGCAAGGCAAAGAAGAGAAAGTAAGCAACAAATGCTGCACGGCAGAGGAAGAGAGTGTGGCCAAGATCGTGTACACCAGAGGCCTGGGTACAAGCATCACATTGGAGACTTGGCAACTACGTGCCCTGGACTCCGAGACTGCGTGATGGCTAGCATAGATGGGGCATATTGTAGCCGCCTCACATAGTTAATCGAGGACATCAGTGCAGAAATGTGATCAAGTCCAGTCTCATCGTAATTCACATATCTCGCGCATGGTGCATCTCATATGCAGAAGCATATCAAACTACCAGCTGCACGCTTGGACGAAGGACGAGACGACTAAGAAAGTGTTGAGGAAAAGCAGCTACCAAAATGTTCAGCTGAAAAAGGGGGCTCCGCATGTCTGTGTGCAGGGAGACCGGACAATCCAAGGCGAGTGAAAATCTGGGCAGAAAAGTTCCAACAGATCATACCTGCTCTGTATCCGTACTTCGTACATTAGTGTAATATCCCACCGGACAGATCGGTGATTTGGCTTTGAGAGGTCCACGGCCCACGGGTAGGTAGTAGAATTGCTCCCCTCCTTCGCGGCACGGAAACTCTTCTGAAGGTCGCTTCGCGGCTAAAGATGCCGTAGAGAGACACGACAGACTACTTTGTAAGGTAAACTCTCCCCGAACCCAACAGGGGCCCCAGCAAGAGAGTCGCTTGGCGGGGGTTCGCAGCTGTCGGAGCCCCGTGCCTGGTAGGGCAGAGACAAGCTCGTATGTCACCGCGCCTATCAGAGAGTCCCATTGGGGAAACCTGGAAGGTCTGGAAGGGGGGGGGGGATGACGCCAGGTCCCCTCCAACGGTGGTGTTTTGGGGCTAGGTCCCTAGGATGGTGCCAGCTCCACGTTCTGCTTGCTCATGTTCTTCTTCACTTGAGGTGCCTTACCTTATATACTAGGTAGGCTATTCGCAAGGTACGGAGTATTGTAGACGGTAATTAGGCACGTTACGTTAAGGTATGGTCAGCACATAAGATACCTAGGCACCTACGTAGTACCCGTAGCTCATCCCCTACCAGTTCCCAACTTATGGACCATGTGGCATGGAGACCTTTTAGTGTCGGTCTTTCGTCAAAAGGTGGAGAATTGCGGGATCTGTATACCGAAAATAGTTCACAGTGATTGCCGTCGTTCCTGAGCTGCAGAGCAAATAGCTCTTGGCCTCTCCTTGAACTCGGTTGATCGGATCGTGTCCACGCAATGCAGTGTTTGAATGGGATGGAGACAAGGTGAAGGCAGAGTGTGTGTATTTCGTAAGATGAACGTGGTTTCCGGTGGTTGTAGTTTCATGGAAGCTGACGGGATTCGGGAAGGGAAGAAAGAAGAAGGGCCCCCTAGGAGTCTAGGACCCTCCCCAGTTGGGGCCTTCTAAATGTCATCGACAATACGAAGAGTTAAAAGTTGCCCAAAGCAGTCATGGCTGACCTAGACATCCACTCTCAGAGGCACCCTCAAAACCTAAAGTTTCCTCGACCTCCCCTCCGTCTTTGACAGTCGCATAATTGCCTTGGAAGTTAGGAGGATTGGATCCAGTCCGTTCCTTCCTTCGCCCAGCCAGCGTACGGAGTAGTCGACCAAACACACACCAGGACCAACCAGGGAAAAATAACAACCGAACGCAATCTTTCTCAAACTCCCCAGGCTCTTTCTCTCTGACTTCTGTGTCTCTCTGTCTCGTACCTTTTCTTTTCCCTAAACTTTCTTTCCACCTTCCTACCTGCACTTGCCGTCTTTCACCACGTTGCCCTTCGACGTTTTCCCCGTTACCGTCGCGTGGGTTACTCCTCTCTTTAACCTCCGTTTGAGCCTCTCGGTCCCTCCGTTTGTCACATGCCCGGGTTCCCCCGTCCATCACTCCAAGTTCGTCCCATGCGTCCGCTCCGGTCATGACACACGGACGGCCGCATAGGGTCCCCCAGCAACCACTTTGAGAAATCTAGTTTGAAGCCCGCCTAGCACGCTTCAGAGAGCACAAGCACAGGCACACAGGCACACAAGCCACACCCAAAGGTCGTCGGACTACAGCGAACGCACCCGTCAAGCAGAGCTCCGGACCTTCGGTTCAATCGACGGGGATTCGAGGTCCACGCTGCCTCGTACGCAGTGGACAGTGGGGTTCCACAACGCGTACCTGACGTCTCTCGTCATCCCAAATAGGGTCGTCCCCGGCACCCGTTCGCTCCAAGGGGAGGGAGCCAAGAGCCTACTCTACGGGAAACGTAAGCTACAAAACCTGTTCGGACGGTGTGGCCGTGCCGCCCGCGTGCCCGCGCCCGCCGTCCGTCATTCACAACCCTCCAGCTCCAGTCCCCTGATCCCCCAGTCGGGATATTTTACCCCCCAAAGGGCCCAAAGGGGGCGCTCCAACGCCCATTTATCATTGGGGCGCGCGCCGCACCGCACCGCCAAAAATCCGACTACCCCTCGATCCCATTGTCAAGCGTCGCCGCCAAGAAACACTCTCTTGATTCCCCAACAATTCCCTCGAAAAGGAAGCTTTCGAGGGAACCGGAGGGCTCGCCGAATCATGAGCAGCCCTACCGTCGGGTCCCTTCTGGCTGCCATTGCGACACTCGTCAGTGATGGCCTGCGTATCTTACAGTTCGCCGATAAGCGCCAATGGGGACCTGACGAGCACGAGCAATTGCGCCTGCTGGAGGATACCCTCAACGACGCCAAGAAGGACTTCCAGGAGCTTTCTGTCCTCGTCAACGGACAGCGCTATTACATGAACGACCGCAAACGTGAGTCTACAAGCGCACTTGCACTGATTTTGCCTGCTCTGCGCTGGCTTGGGAGCTTGATGGAGGCTCTATAGAGCCCTGCGTTACAGCGGAGAGAGGGAGGCCTCTGCGATTGCCAGCCTGCTCCCCGTCAAATTTCGCTTCGTGCTAGCTCACGTCACGCACAACTGGCCCTGAACCCTTGCTAACTGTTTGTCTTCAAGCTCCGTCGATCGCCGAACTGCGAGCTTTACAGTCCAAGGTCGAGCATCATATCGAGAACTTCAAAGATTGGACAAAGACAGGCGGACCGATCAACCCAGTATGGGCACGAGAGACGACGCAACTGCGCCGCGAACTACACCGCGCACAATGCCGAGCAGCTAGGAGGATATTTGCGGCAGAGCAAGAGACCTCAGCGAGATGCCTGGGTGCCTTTCTCGTTCACAGAAAACAGCGTGAATGGCAGAATCGGCCTGCTACTTCAGAGGAGGAGCACCACAGACGACACGTGGAAGAGGTGGTAGCATGCAACACAAGCGGCAAGTTTGAGCGGTTTGGCGACGGAGGCATTGCATTCGTTTGCGACTTTTGTGACGGCCATCTCGTATGGGAAGACTTGGAGAGCATGCCATCATTACGCACAGCCGAGGAATCCAGCACGCGCCCAGTACCACCCATTTCGCCGACGACCGGGGTGCCACACTGGCAGGCGACCGGGTTTACCGCCGACAAACGAAGAGAGGAGAAGACGGTCATATTTGCGCCTCTGGCGATAGCGAATCATATGGCGCCGTATCAGGGGGATTGGGTAGCCCGGCTACTATGCCCTTTTTGCGACGAAGCGCCGTATACCGAGGCAGGCGGTGACAGCGACGATGAGATGCGGAATGCCCAGGATGAATCCGGCTTCGAAGATCTCCAGGCCTTCCAAGAGCACCTAGAGTGGCAACACACAGCGGCGTCAATACCCGCTGTCCCCTTGCCCAAGGCAGCCAAGGACTGCTTGGTGATGTGACATCACTAATTCGACAACGATTTCTATTGGTGGCGTAAAAACGGCGGTTCGTTCGTGTACATATATTCAAAGTGTGTGGTCCTGATAAAGGCGAGGCGTTGGGGGCTTCCAAAGAGGGCGGAGAATATTCATCCGCACCTACGACTCATGGAATTATCATTTACTTTATTCGATGGCAGAGGCCTACTTCACGAAGTGTTGGGGCCCGCCCTCATCACCAGTCTGGATAGACTCATGCAGCAACAGAGATACCACAGTTCGGTAGTGCTGGATCATATTTCCACATTCAAAGACTTTAAAGACCAATTCTTGTTTTGTTGCCCCTCTCCGTCTTCCCCTGCACCCGCCTGAGAAGCCCGTGCCGTGTATTTGATTGATATACATGAATTGAGAGAGATATACACAGTCGCCAACAAAACGCCCCAACATTGTCGTAGAAACCTTTGCCTTTCTCGGGCCAAAGGATCAAACAACCACCAAGGGAAACAAACCGTCCCTTGTCCTCTCATTCGCACCGCCAAAAGGAAAACCAAACAATGCCAACCCCCCATTTTTCAAAAGAAACGCCACCAAAAGAAGACGATGACAATGAACCCCAACGCACCAAGGGGGCCGTACTGCTTCAGCAGCAGCTCCCAGTTGATCCTGACGGCGGCGCGCCTGTACTTTTTGCTGTCGTCGCGCAGGCGGGAGCTGAGCTCGCCCATGCGGTCGAGGGAGTCGCCGCGGTAGAGGAGGTCCTCGATGTTCTTGGTCATGACCTTTGTGACGTCGCGCAGCTCGTCGTTGAGCTTGTCGAGGTTCTGGGAGGCGCGGGCGTCCGAGTAGGTCGACTTTGTGCGGTTGATAAAGGTGTCGAATTCCATGAAGGCGTAGGGGCGGAGGGAGGGGGAGTGGAGCTGGGAGACGGGGTAGGTTGTTGTGAATTCGCGGGCGAGGTCGGAGAGGTAGGTGAAGGCTAGTTTGCGGGGGTAGGATTTGTCTGTTATGCAGATGAAGGTTATGTCTGAGTCCATTAGGTAGCTATTTGTGTGAGGAGAGGTACAAAGGTTAGCAAGCTGCCTTTTGTTTCTCTCTTTTCTCTCTGTCTTGACGTCTCCTGAGCTCGATGGGGATTTTAGGGGGTGAGTGGAAGGGGAGTAGACGGACTTGAGGTTGTAGGCACCGCTTTCGATGCTGGCTTGGGGTTCCGAGTTGCGGGTGAGCTTGCGCAGGACTTGTTTGATTTGCGACTTGACTTCGGAGAGGGCTGCTTCTTGTTGCTCGTCGTCGACGGATGCGCAGAGCATGAGGCCTGAGGTGGGGGATGGGTGTTAGTCGAGTTGTCCTCCTTGAATGTGGTACATAGCTTGAGGAAGAGAGAGTGCGCGTACCGTCGAGCCTTGCTATTTGGGTTGAGCGGATCATCGTGTCTGTGTTGGTTTGGTGTTTGTGAAGGAAACCGGTTGTCGTCGCTCGTAGGTCAAGAGGTGCGGTATAGGAAGGGAGCTATCGACGGTTGGTGTTGTATCGACGTGTCCTCTGAGATAGCTTCGATGCCTGGCCCAAAGGTATGGGGATGCGCGGACTGACGAAAGGTTATGGCCGAGTGAAGTGGTATCTCCGACTGGTTTGATCAAGTCACGGGTACTTTTTTCGAGGTATCGTCGAGGTGTTCGTTGTTGTGTCCTTTTTCCGAGCCAGGGGTGGTCGCTTTTTCGCTAGCAAGTAAATCAAAAACCATGGATCGCCGTCGACAATATGTCCTGTAGGGACGGGAGCTCTCCACCTACTGTCATTGAAGATGACACCATGGGCGGTCATCACTGGCCAATTGGAGGGCTGGCGCGGGGGTGTAGCCCCTGCGTTTTTGGGTCGATGTGGCGCCCGTGGCTCGGTCCAATCCAGCCATGTTTTACTGAGGTGAGAGTGTGTTCCTCCAGGGACCACCTAAACTCAACTCACTCAGTTGCTTCTCCTCCTACCTAACCACTTACACATTTTGAGGGAGGTGTGGCGGGAGCATAGCTTAGTTGCGATACTGCGCCGGATGATTATCCCGCGATCTTTTGGCACAAACAACAGCCTTCCCCATCTCATGATTTACTCCTTCAATAAACAGGACTTGGCTATTTCATTTTCAAACTGCTCGGAGTGCCGGAGTCTCATCTTTGATTGTTATTCGTAAGTTCTCAAAATGTGTCTACTATATCATCTCATGTCCGGACACTGCTTTGTGAGAAAGAACAATCAGCAAAGAAGGTCCTTCCTACCTTATACTGCCAAATCTGTGACGCGTGCCTTCTAGACACCACGGATCTTTTTTAGTCAACTCCTTTGAATTATTTTTGGCTAATTACCGGTCCAGAAATATTTCCATGGACACTGTAAACGTGAACTGGCAAACGTCACCCATCCAAACGGCCACTCATTCAAGATGGCAGGAGTCGCATCGGATATAGAAATGGCAGACGCCTGCGCTCCATCCTCGTCCTCATCCTCTGACCTCACCCCTCCACCCACTTACAGCTCAGACTACGAGGAACTTCCCAAGAGAGCCAAGAAAACTTCCCCCAAAAGGACAGTCGACTCACTCAACGCGCGGGACGACCCGGAATCAGAAGCTATCGGCACAGAACTTACCGGCACACACTTGCCCAGCATGACGCGACGTTCGGCACGCAATTCGACTAAGCCTAAGCCCGTCACTGCTTCTCCTCCGAGAGTCACCAAGAAAAAGCAGCCTACCAGAGTGGTGCCCAAGAAGGTGCCAAAATGGACGACGCAGAAGCTCCTGACGGATCCCAACTCGCCGCTTGCCAGCGCTAATTTGAGAGTGAGTGAATCCTTGCAGCTTGGAAGAGACGATGTTATATTATCTCAGATTTCTTGTTCCAACTCGAGTGTGCTAACATACTGCGACCATCTCTAGGCGATGCTCTGCCAGCCAGCGGCGTGGGACATACTCACCAAAGAAGAGCGCGCCGAGATCGTCAATCTCTTCCCAGCCGGCACACGCATTCTCGACGCCGGCACTGACGACGCCCGTCCAGACTTTGACGCCCTTCGCAATGACAACAACTTCCGCCACGATTGTGCCACGTATGCCGACAATATTTCCCTGGGCAAGCACGACCCCGAGTGGCTCGAGCAGGCGTGGGGTGCGCGCGAGCGGCGGCGGGCGGGCGACTTTGACGACCACGTTACGCAAAAGTTCGAAGATGAATGGTCCTGCAATGTGCCAGAGGGCTTTAAGCCGGACAGAAGTAGCATTGTACCAGGTCCCGCTGCGTCTGCAGAAGTTGAGAAGACCAGGGTTGGGCAGAAGGAGGAGATCACCAATCAGGCGGAGGAGCAGATTATCGACAAGGTCCAGGCGGAGGGAGACGTCGTCAACCAAGCGGAGGAGGTGAAGGCTACGGCTAAGAACGTCCCGGCTACTACGGATACGACGAATGACGTTAACATGGCAGAGGAGAACGAAGCTAGAGAAGCACCGGGTGTCACACTTGGGTCTCCTCTTCCCGACGACATCTCATCAGCAAAGAATGGCGCTCCTACTTCCGAGATCTCAGAGCTGGCGTCTGCTATGCCCGAATCCTCAGGGGTGCCGCTTGCGAGCGTTGCTCTAGACGATTCATCCCCGAAGACCAATCTTCGAGATCCAGGCGAGGAGACAGAAAAGCAGAAGGAGAAGGAGTAGGCAACTGTGGAAGGAGATAGACAAGAGCCCGTCCCTGAGGAGCATCCTCGTGCTGGCGACGTTCATGAGGATGCGAAGGCGTCAGAGCATTGAGGCTGATAGTCGCTGAAGGAGACGAATGCAGAAGGATTTTCCAAATGCAACATCACGAATTATGATTCACGAAAGGAAACGGAATTTGGGCCGGTCGGAGATACCTATTTGGTGGGCGACACAGGATCTGGATTGTCGTCTGGATGAAGAGCTTTCCTTAGTAGGGCCTGATAGCTGCGGGATCTGATGATATGATCCGCGCAATTCTGAACTCCTTCATGCACAAGTCCATGATCGTAAAGGAAGCCTTGTTGTCGGCCTTGGTGAAAAATCCTGGTGTTGACGCCCGATGGTGGTAGTCTCGGTCAGTGCCCCACATCACCGAGAAACCCCAAATTGAGTGGGCGAAAAGCGTCAACCACGGAAATCGCACCTTGGCAATCTTCACTCTCAATCATCTTACTGTCTAATCCGAGAAGCTTTTTTGGTGCAAACTTCCCACACTACAGTCTCACAGGGTTGTTCCTCGGAAGACATCAACAGGGACAAGATTCGCAGGTCCAGACTATAGTCATTGCTCAGCAAACTCCTTTCTTCCACAATACATCGGGAATATCCCTCCCAAGACCTGCCACGATGGCCCCCTCGGCGGAAAACCATAGTCGGTCACATAGCCTCCTACTGTTCCAGAAGCTGCTCAACCTGAGGGATGGCGCGAGTCCTTTGACCTTGGTGCTGGACAGCCTCGAGCAGAGCGCCGCGCCGGTCTTTCGGGAGCTCGTCTCCAGAGCCAAGGTACGAGCTACTGATTTTCATGACTCTGTAGAGAGATGCTGTTGTACTCTCTGTCTAATAGAGATGCTATTGTTCCTGGTGTTACGCTATAAATTTATGGTATTAACGAATTACATAGGTTGCAAAGGCCAAGGTAATCCTGCTCTCTTTCGCGACGCTCAAACGCCCACGAGGCGCGGACGTCGTCGTCAGAGCCCGCGGGAAGAACCTCAAGGCACTGAGAGCAGAAATCCTTTCACATTATCCCAAGATGGATCCTAGAGCATCCAAGGGCGCATCTTCATCCCAAAGTGAGTGCCGCCACCCTCACCCACCCTGTGGCCTCTTCTTTTTGACCTCACCATGACACGCACTCTCTGACTCACATCTTCGCGACCCAGAAACAGTAGTCCTGCTCGACTCCCTCAACGAGCTCGCCACAGCGGCGCCGCAGATCCTGCCCAGCTTCCTCTCCAGCATCATCATGCCCGCGGTCTCGCTCGTGGCCGTCTACCACACCGACGTGCCCCTCGTCCTCCCGCGCACCGTGAGCGAGTACGAGCCGCACCCGCTGACGGTGCTCTCCCACCTGGCGACCTCTATCCTGCGGCTCTCGGGCCTGCGGCAGGAGATTGAGCGCCAAAAGGCGCGGAACAGGAGTCTGCAGGAGCCCGAGTGGGGTCTGGGCGAGGGCCGGGAGGGCGTGCTCGTCGGGCTCAAGGGCGATGTCAAGTCGGAGGATTATCACGGCGTTGTGGTTGAGATGGAGGTTAGGAGGCGGAGCGGAAGGGCCATGGCGGAGAAGTTTGTTGTCTTGCCGCAGAAAGGACAGGTTTCGTCCGCTGCTGGTGTTGCAGCAAAGGGGTCGAGGATTTACCTCCTTTCGGAGCACCCCGTCTTCGCTGCCCCTGAGGGTTCTGGTGAGGCAGATGCAGGTCACGGGGAAGATGAGGAGCCGGAGAGCACGTTCAACTTGGGACTCACAGAGAAACAGCGAAAGGACAGAGAGGGTATTGTCCTGCCTTACTTTGACGCTCAAACGGACATAGGGGCTGGTGAGGGCGGCAGGATTCTCTATGAGATGGGTAGGGAGGATGACTTTGATGACGAGGAGGATGAGATTTAGGCGGCCTCACCTTACGACTAGGTACGGCAAGACACGCGCTTATGATCATGAGACTTCGATTACTTCTGCCAAAGCCAATGTGAAAGGTGAATTTCCTAAGGCATCTAGCAAGAATGTGAAAGAGTGGTCGGTTACGAAGGCACTTTGGTCAGGTGAGGTACCTCCCTCAGCCAGGCATCAACACAGAGTGAGGCCATTGCCAGGCAACCGAAGCTGAGTGGCTCACCTCTCTCCCTCATTGAGGCCAAAATATCAAACGGAAGGAGGCAACGTCCCGCAGCTGCCTCCCGTCACAAGGCATCAACCACCCTACCTCACCAACCCACGAATCACAAAATTCGATCCTGCCCATCGAATAATACGGCACTCGTCAAAGGTATTTCCAGTACGTACCTTTACTGATCGGGGGCCGTCGCACAGGCCATGCCCAAAATCTATATCAATGCCTCTTCCCACCCGCGACTTTTACACATTTTCTCCTCTTCTTTTCCTTAGCTCTTCTTTGCCTTTTGGCTTAGATCAAGTGTAGTATCTGTTCTTTTCAGTTTAATATCTGGAAGTCCCCCAATGGGGGACAATCAATATTATTCCTATTTTTGATCTTTTCGGGGAGCGGTCCCTCTGGCTTGCCAGATTACCGCTTCCCACCGTGTCCCTGGTATCACACTGCCTCCAGGCGACGCAAAACTTTGTTTTTTTCATTGCTTGCTCTGGCTTGTCCAGGGCAGTGAAGAAGAGCGTTTGAAGTATTTACTGTCATGTGCTATGTGATGTTCTGCGCAAATTCCCAGCTTGATGGTCGACAGCAGTCGATCTACAAGGTGAAGTTACATCGTGATGTTGAAGGTTTGGCATGTTGCGGTGTTGCACAAGTGAACCCGCTAGAGCTTTCCAGTAACTTTCCAGTAAAAGTCAGTGGAGCTTGCCCAGCGTGTCCGACCACCGAACTCCTGCAAGGCTCCCGCGCTAAAAGTTTGGGGGCGGAAAGCTTAAACTCTGCCCAATTAAGCACTTCTTCAGGCCATCAGTGCTTGCCGAACATCATCTGAAGACTTGCCGTCCCCAACTTTTCCTCAGCCTCACAGTGACGTTGTTTCCCAAGTTTAATCCCACACCGCCAAGCTTCTTTTCCTACGTCTTTTTTCAGCGCAAAGTATCCAGGGCCAACATTGCATGCAGAATGGGTCGCGGACGCGATAACAGACAGGCCTGGGACGAGCCCGACCGACGCAGTCGCCACGGCGGAGGAGGAGGAGGAGGCCCTCGAGGAGACCGAGACCGCGAAAGCTACAGAGACCGCGACGGCGGCGGCGGCGGCAGGCGAGACGATCGCGACAGGAGAGACGACGGCGCCAGGCGATACCGCTCCCGATCCCGCGACCGCCGCGACAGAGACCACCGCCCCAGATCCAGAGACCGCGAGAGCGGTAACCACCGCCCGGGACGCGACGATCGCGATGGAGGCGCGAGGCCGCCGCGCAGAGACCGCGGTGGCTGGCAGGGCCGAGATGAAAGGGACAGCAGGCGGCGCAGAGACAATGATGAACCGCCGGCGGCATCAGCGGCGGAGGACGAGCGGCCTCCGAGGCGGCAGTTTGGTGATGATGATGAGGGACGCAGTAAGTTTAATTTTATCCGTTTGGCCTTATTTGGCGCAACAGAGACTGACGTTTTTGTGCGAAAGGTACACCGCGCGACAACAACAGAGACCGCAGACGATCAGCCTCCCCACGCCGGAGCGGCAGCCCGCCGCAGCCTGCAACCCGTCGCGAGCAGGGCGGCGGCGGATACACCGAGTCACTTCCCACGCGCACGGTTCAGAGAGGGAAGAAGGAGCAGCAGCATACCATGTCCTTCAAGGTCGGACGGCACGACTCGCCGTACGTCGATAGCGGGAGGGACAGCGAGCGCGGCGGGGACACGCCGATGATGACGGGTGGTGGTGGTGGTCGGGACGATCGAAGCGAGGAGGACGACGACGAACCTGAGCCCGAGGTCGAGGATGACGATATGGCGGCCATGCAGGCGATGCTTGGCTTTGGCGGGTTCGGGTCGACAAAGGGCCAGAAGATTGCGGGGAATAATGTCGGGACTGTGAGGAAGGAGAAGAAGACGGAGTATCGCCAGTATATGAACCGACAGGGTGGGTTCAACCGGCCGCTCAGTCCTGGGAGATGAGTTACCTCTTGAGGGATTGTGCAAACTCGTATTTGGGGGGTTGAGGGTTGCTAGAAGGCGGAAGTATCAATGGGGCAACACAAAGCACGACTTTGTCATGAATCGGACAGCATCAGGTACGCTTTGCGCTTGTACTATTTTTGAGATACCTATAGATGAACAGGAAAGAAAGATATTCACAGCAGCTGAGTCCATGTAGATATGCTTGCCTCATATCGAGCTATGACCTGGCTCAGTCTGATGCTGTTGACGCGGGTGCGGGTGGTGTAGATTCCCTCGTCTTTCCCTCCGTTGCCTCGGCCTTGAGCTCGCTATCGAATATGTCAACAGCGAGACTCGCGTCCACAAAGTCCTCAAGCTCCTCCGTCACCGTCTTAAGCTTCTCCTTGACCGCGGTCGCGCCCTCAAACCCGACGATATGTCTCGCTGGCGGGTTCTCGTGCCCGCCAATCGCCGTCAGAGCGTGCACCGTCTCCAGCACGAGGCGATCCGTGGCGCTGGGCGGCAGCTTCGGGTACCGTACCTGGACGTCCTCGGTCTCGTTGAGGTCGGGCACGGCGGTGTCCGGGTTCATGTTGAGGACGTTGCCGAGCATGTCGCGGATACTGGGCGCCGGGTTGATCTCGGCGTCGTACCACGGCAGCTGGGGCGCGAAGATGATCTTGTTGGTGAGGGACTGGATCTCCTTGTTGGGCTGGACGATGGTAACTTTGATATTGAAGGGAGCGATCTCATAGGCTAGCGAGTCGCAGAAGCCTTCGAGGGCCCAGATGGCTGATGTGTAGATGGGCATCCCCGGCGTGCCGATGTGGCCGCCCGTGCTGGAGAGGATGATGATGTGTCCCGTGTGCTGTGAGCGTAGGAGTGGCAGGGCGGCCTTGATGAAGTTGACCTGTGAGAAGAAGATTGTCTCAAACTGGTCGCGGACTAGGTTTTGTGTTAGAGGATTCGTGGATAGCTCCTCTACGCTCCCTACGACGGCTATCGAGGGGTTGTCAGCATTGTACTGTTCACATCAAAAAGAGGGCTCGCCGTGAGATACCTTCAGATTTGCAGCATAAGAGGATGTCGATCCTGCCAAACACCTGAACGGCCTCCGCCACGGCGGCGCCGCACTGGCCCATGACCCGCCCATCGCATCGGATACCACGTATCCTATCCTTCCACCCTTCGCGGTCCTTACGGTTGCTCTTACACTCGTTGATCAACTCTCTAAACTCGGCGCTGCGGCCGTCGTCCTCAATCTCGCTTGGCGGCAGACAGGCGACGACATAGTCACCGTGGCCCAGGAGCAGTCTGATGAGCCTGATGATGAGCGGCGAGAGGGCTGTAGTCAAGAACCACGTCCTCGGCGAGTTGTGCGTAGCTGAGGAGGGAGGGGCGTATTAGCCAAGAGTGTGCGCTGCCAAGGAAACGCCGTGCTGTTAGTGAGGGGAGGTGAGATACTCACGGAAAGACGCCACGGGAATGGAATGGAAATGCTTCGCGGCGTCCGCCCCCTTGCGGTCCGCCATGCCCGGCGGCACTTCTGACAAATCCTCGTCCCTTGAACACGCGAATCAGTACAGGAAGCGAAGACGAAGTGGTACTACACATGTAGAGAGGGACAAATGAAGAAGCTGCAGGTCGATGTACGTGATGTACGGGATATCGAAAGCGGTGGATACGTAGGGGGAAGTTTGTGTAGGTCAATCTTTGAGAGAGTGGGAGACACCTGCATCAAATCAAGCGAGTGGCAGGAAGAGTGACGAGAAGGGGGAGGGATATTAATACATTATCTTATTAACAGCTTCCCAAGAAGAGGCTGATACGGCGATCTCAATCACAAGGGGGCACGTTCGGGAACGGCTAGACGTGCCATTAAGGTCGCATTCCCTGGGTGTAGTCTGCAGAGGGCGTCGATCGAGGGGAAGGGGGGCGTGGGCAATCGTGGTAGTTGATCAATTTGTTGATGGGGTTGAGAGAAACACGGCAGTGGATGACTGCCGTTCCAGCCCAATCTCTATCTCACACCCCTGTCGAGGGGCACGGGTGACCTCCGTGACGAGGGTAGGGGGGAAGAAAGGCCCCCAAGGCCCCCCAAGCTAGAAGGTACCTACCTACCTTACCTTACCTTGCCTTGCCTTACCTTACCTGGTACCCCGCCCACCTTGCGCATGAGGTGCAGCGTCCACTATCCACTGGTCCAGTGCTTTCTCGCAATGCGAATGCAGTGGCCGAAGCGAGCCATAGAGGCCCGGGCCCCACCTCGGGCCACAGCGATTCCAGCGGCATCCCCACGCTAGAATCCGGGGAACGACCCCTCCATCCACTCACGTCATTTTTTTTTTTGGCTGTCGTTGTTTCCGACACCGGTGTCTCTTCCGCATTTTGGCGGGGTTACTCGTCTGGAATAGCAACTTTTTTTTTCTGGCACCACCGCAACTCCGTCTTCCGTGACTCATTAGAACCAGTCTCAGCCCTACATAAATCAAATTGATCTACCATTCGATTCTCCGCCTCGATTATTTCTTGTGCCTGTCAATTGTTCGAGTTTCGCCTAAACCCAATTCTCCCAATTCCAACTGAAACCGCCAGAGAAACCGCTCCGCCCAAAATGCCCTCCCGCGCCGACATCACCTACTTCGGCGCCGGCCCCGCGCTGCTGCCCACCGACGTCCTCGAGACGGCCTCCCAGGCCCTCCTCGACTTCAACGGCACCGGTCTGGGCATTGCAGAGCACTCCCACCGCAGCGAGATCGCCACCAAGATCATCGAAGAGGCCAAGGCCGACCTGGCCACCTACCTCGACATCCCCTCCGACTACGAGGTCCTCTTCATGCAGGCCGGCGGCAGCGGCGAGTTCTCTGCCACCGTCTACAACTTTGTCGGCGCCTGGATCGCCCGCCAGCGTGACGCCGTGCTAGCCAAGCTCGGTGCAACCGACGAGAACGACGAAAAGGTTGTCGCCGAGCTCCGCAAGATTGTCGACGAGAAGCTCAAGCTCGACTACCTCGTCACCGGAGGCTGGAGTCAAAAGGCCAGCGCCGAGGCCGCGAGGCTGCTCGGCCCGGAATTCGTCAACGTCGCCGCCGACGCCCGCAAGATCAACGACGGCAAGTTTGGCAAGATCCCCGACCAGAAGGACTGGAAGCTCAGCAAGGACGCCGCCATGGTCTACTACTGCGACAACGAGACGGTCGACGGCGTCGAGTTCAACGGCTTCCCTGGTGCGCTGGCGCCCAAGGAGAACGGCGAGGGCCCCATTGTCGTGGCGGACATGTCGTCCAACATCCTCTCAAGGCGCATCCCCGTCAAGAACTTCAGCGCCATCTTCTTCGGCGCCCAGAAGAACCTTGGCTCGACCGGTATCACTGTCGTTGTCATCAAGAAGAGCCTTCTTGCCGCACAGCCCTCACCTGCGCTGATGCGCAAGCTCGGTCTTCCTATCGCCCCCATCGTTCTCTCATACGAGACCATTGCCAAGAACAACAGCTTGTACAACACATTGAGCATCTTTGAGTGAGTCATCTCCCCACAACTGTCCACATTTCTGTTATTTCGCTCTACTGACCATCATGTCGCAGCGTCTACATCGCCGGTCAGGTCCTCAAGAAGCTTCTCCGCACTTTCGAAAACAAGGTCGACGGCCAGGAGGCCATTGCTGATGAGAAGGCCTCTCTCATCTACTCCGCCCTCGAGGCCCACTCCGACATCTACCGCATCGTCCCCGACAAGAGCGTCCGCTCGCGCATGAACATCTGCTTCCGTGTCACCAAGAACGGTGACACTGACGCCACGGAGAAGGCCTTCCTCAAGGAGTCCACGGCTCAGGGCCTCACCGGCCTTAAGGGCCACCGCAGCGTCGGCGGTATCCGTGCTAGCAACTACAACTCTATTTCTCTTGAGGGTGCTCAGAAGCTGGCCAAGTTCATCGAGTCCTTCGCCAAGGCTTAGTTGAGGGTTGTTTTGTGTGAGGCTTTTTTTCGACACCGTCAATATAATGATACCATGTAAGAATATACATGAACCAAAAAAAGGGAGGGAACGGTACTGGGAAATGAAAATAAAGCATATTGGGAATATTTAGGGAGCCATGATTTAATTCAACATTGTTCTGCCAGGGTATGATGGCTTCACATTACACACGGTTTTTCCTCGGTGAGATGATTGTGACAGGCGGGAAGGCAAGCGTTACCTTGATGGGCAGGTGTGTGTGTGTGTGTGTGAATGGTTGAATGAATTCCAGTTCCGCATATCGCCGCATTAGGTTGGTGCCACATCCAACAACACCATCCTAAAAATGGTAGGTGGTCTGTACTACTCAATGTTATCTTATAGAAACGCCTTATTTACAGTATTGAGGTCATTCAACTGAAGCTATAAGGAGTGTATCGTCTTTCACAGAAGACTCACAAGAGGCATCTGGCAAAGAGCTGAGTAACCTCAGAAAGCTTCAAGGTTAGGCGGCTAACCCGGATATCGAGACTACCGGATTGAATCCTATTCGATTAGATATGTGTTTCATTCAATTCCATCCGATTTCATCAGTTCCTCACAAATTAAAACCCCAAGATGAAATGACCCTATTGCAAGTAGGTAGTTGAAGGAGGAGGGAATGAGTCTTGTACATCGGCCCGGCGCGCCATAAGTGGCCCGTGCATACTGTCGGCAATATGTCCATCTCACGGCTCTTTGCCAACTCTTCCTTTACAAACTTATCTTTTGGGTTATACAAGAGCCGGATTCGGTCACCGGAATGACTCCGGTACCTTCATCCCGCAGGATCCGTCGTCGAAGAGTCACCGACGAAGATCGGAAGCGGGCGCCCCGAGCCTGTACCCGTTGTAAGGCCCGCAAGAGCAAATGCATTGAGACGGCGTCGGGTATATGCCAACGAAGTCTCCAGGGCTCACATACTTGTAGCTTCGTCACGCAGCGTTCTAGTACATCACCAGGAGTATTACAGTCACCTATAAGAGACTATGACGAATCTTCCGCGGACCTGGGTCCCAGATCGAGCCCCGGCGCCCTTGCCGATGTCCCGGACAACATACAGACATCACGCCGGGATCTCTGCTCCGATAGTGACGCCCCTGAGAACTTTATGTGGCCACGCTTCCTGTCCAGACTGAGGACCGTATTCTATCTCGAGCCAAATTCATCACCCGCCGAGAGGGAGATTGCTAGACTTGAAGCTCGCTCATCGCGAACCACCACTTCTCACCAGTCTGCGGAAGCCCTTCGCCTGCAAGCAGCCACCGAAAGCCTCCCGCCGAGGTCGCTGGCTATCTTCCTGAGCAAACTTTCTATCCAGCATGGAACCGACTGTTTTTTCTACTTTGATCAGCCTTCTTTCTTGGCCGTGGAAGAGTTCTACAGCGACTTGAGCTCACCTCTCCGACGGGATCCCAGCTTCCTCTGCCTTTTGCTGTCAGTTCTTGCCCTTGGAGCTCATTGGAGCCCGCGAGCCCGCCCATCCGCTCTATCGGGGTCTCTTCCAGCTCCTACGGATGACCCTGGACGGGTGTTTTGCGGCCATGCCCGAATCTTGATGGCGGACACCATGGATAGAGTGAGCATGTACTCGGTCAAAACGGCGTTCGTCCTCGGGATCTACCTCATGCCATCGAGTGCGGTAGGGGCCTCGTACCTGTACATGGGTCTCGCCTTGAGGAAAGCTCTCGCTCTTGGGCTGCATCATGAATCAGAAGAACCAGAAATTGACAGCCATGAGAGGGAAATGAGACGAAGATTGTGGTGGGCTATCTATTCTCTCGAAAGGTCAGTTGTCTCGCTAGCACACAATTCCCATCAGGGGACTAAGCTGACGTTCTTTTGGTAGAACCCTAACAATCAAGCTCAATCGACCGAGATCGATATCTCAAGACGTCATCACAGCTCATCTGCCTCAGCGCCGAGCAACTGATGCATTGCAAAGCTTTGATAACCTGGACCACCAAGTAGCCAACGCGCGATTTGTAAAGATCATTGACACTCTTATTGAGCCGGCGTGAGTTTAATTTTTTGCCCATTATCGGTTCTTCTCGCTGACTCCATATGGTTTAGTACGTGGTCAAGCAACTCGCAACCTCCTTTACAAGACTTTGAAGTTTCGCTAAAAGCCTGTAAGCGATCTCTGCCTCCCAACTTACGTCTATCAACCGTGGAGCCTCGCTCTCCATACTACCGCGCCGTATTTCACCTCTATTTGAACTACTACTTCGCCTGGATAGCCATAGGGAAAACGTCTGTAGTGTCAAAGATTCGGAGCCATTTACGGTCAGCTGCATCAGGTATACCGGAGCCTCAGTCAACCGAAGATGATGATGTAACCCGGCAATTTAAGTCATGTGGCATCGCGGCAAAGAAGATGCTGAACATACTCGAAGACGCTAGCAACTCTGGAATGGCCCCAAGCTCCTTTACGGACTTTCAGGGTTGCAGCATAGCCACAATCATTGTGGTTCTGACCGGCATTCTGGAGCGAGACTCGGCGTACGAAGCGCGAGTCGCCTTTGGTCTGCGCTGTCTTCGGAGGATGGCTGACTTGCACATGGCTGGTCGATTGGCAGTTCGCTTTGTGGAAGCACTCATATCCATCGCCGAGGAGGCGCGGGCCAAGGTCAGGCCCTTCGGCTCGACACACTTCGACGCGAGTGTCAACCAAGAGGCTTCTGAATACCTTCTCTGGACAGACTGGTTGAACAGGACTGCGGAGACATCTGGAACAGAGAAAAATTGATCTAACACAACCAGGCAATCGTCTCGTGCTCATTCAGAGACTACACAGACTGCTGGAGATCAAAACGACCCATCGCCAATGTGGGAGGAAGCTGCTGCATTGCTCCAGCTTCGGAACCCATCTACACCTAACCAAACACTTGCGGTCGAAGACACTGCTCTGTCAACTTCTGCGGCTGGGCTACCAGAAGAGTCACCATTCGATCTGGGTCTGGATACTGATTTTCCTGCAGCCACTTTCGCCGAGAACCACATGCAATTGATGGGTCTCACTGTTATGGACATGCTGGATTTTACATTTGACATTTAAGTAAGGTGTACAACGACAGCCACACCAGCAGCCGGGAAAAAACATCTAGCCAGAATCTATCGGCGAGTAGCACAGACGCCAAGAAAGGCCAAACCAAGCTTCGTTCGAAGGATACAAGACAGTATCTGCGCCAACAAAGTCCTCTTTCATACTCCTCATGCTGGTAAAGCGCGTCAAAAGATTGATGCTGGTAGCCTTGTCATTGGTCCCGCTCGCACGACCGCCTCCAAACGGCTGGTGCCCGACAACAGCGCCGCTGCTCTTGCTGTTGACGTAAAAGTTTCCAGCCGCATGGCGCAACCCCTTCTCCGCCGCCTCGATCGCGCTTTGATCGCGGGCGAAGACGGCGCCCGTCAATCCGTACTGCGTCGTGGAGTCGATGACGGGGAGAATTTCCGCGTACTTTGCGTCGGGGTAGACGTGGACGGTGAGGATCGGGCCAAAGAGTTCATTCTTCATGAGTTTGTGCTGGGGGTCGTTGGTCTGGAAGATGGTCGGTGAGACGAACCAGCCCTGGTTGTTGTCCGTGTGACCACCGGCTAGCAGCTCGATCGTAGTGTCCTTTTTGGCCTCTTCGATTACGTCTCGGAGTTTTGTCCACGAACGCTCGTGGATGACGGGTCCGATGAAGTTGTCGACTTGCTCAGGGGAGCCAACCTTGAGGCCCTTCGTTTCCCGCAGGAGCATATCCTTAAACTCTGGTCATATCGACTCTGCAACATAGAGACGCGACGTCGCAGAGCACTTTTGCCCCTGATACTCAAAGGCGTCCCGGACAGTATTCACCACGGCATTCCGAACATCGGCGCTGCCGTGCACCAGGTGGAAGTTCTTGCCGCCCGTCTCACAGATCAAGCGCGGGTAGCTCTCATACCTGCCCGAGGCGACGCCGTCCCCGATCTTGCCGTACAGCTGACGGAAGACGTCCGTGGATCCGGTGAAATGGAGCGCTGCGAATTGGGGGTGGCCGAGGACGGCCGAAGTGATTGCCTCGGGCTCGCCGGGGAGGAACTGGATCACGTTGGCGGACAGGCCGGCCTCTTCAAAGATCTTTTGGAGGAGGTAGCTCGAGTAGAGGGCGTAGTCGGAGGGCTTCCAGAGGACGACGTTGCCCATGATGGCGGGGGCGACGGTCAGGTTGGCGCCGATGGCGGTGAAGTTGAAGGGGCTGATGGCGTAGACGAAGCCCTCTAGCGGCCGGTATTCTGTTCGGCTGGACAATGCCGTTAGTTCGTGTACGAGATATCAAGCTTTCCTCTCCTTGGAAACTATGACTGACAAGGAGAAACTTACTTCATGATTCCAGCGTCAGTCAGTGTGTTCTGCTGGTTATACAGCTGAGCTGCATAATGAACATTGAAACTGCCATGACCCGGCTACAGTCAGCGAAGCTGTCTTGAATGCTTGATACTCGGAGCCTCTGTCTCAAACGTACCGTAAAAAGTCGCAGCTCTCAGCCGCTGAGTCAATCTCCGCCTGCCAAATATTCTTCCCTTGCCCGAGCATCGTCGCAGCCATGATGTCGTATCGGTACTTTCCCGCGATAAGCTCCGCCGCTCGGAGAAACACTGCAGCTCTGTCCTTGAAAGACGTGTTTTCCCACGCGGGCTTGGCTTCTAGTGCCCTATCAATGGCCATGGATACCTGCTCGGGGGTTGTCTGGGCATGTTCGGCCAAGGCGACAGAGTGATCGCTGGGCAGGTATTGTTTGGCCAACACGGACTTTGCATTTGTCTTTGGGGGTGATAGAACATGTTAGCTCATGAGCGGAAAACAGTGGAGGCACCTAGGTATTGCAAATTAGGGGTAAAGATGCCACTTACGATTTCAGGTGCCAAGGAGGGGACTCGAATGGGAAGGCTGCTCTTCAGCCGGGAAATCGCATCTTGGAGCTTTTGACGCTCGACTGAGCCCTTGCTGTATCACGGCTTGAGGTTACCGTGTTAGTTGCTGTCAACATATCGTGGTTGTGTTTCACTGTGGAATACTCACATTGGGCTCGTTGCGGACTGGAGGTGCCTTGAATGTGCCAAAACCCCTGATGCTTCTATCGAGAGGCCGAGAGATGACTCTCAAGAGAGTGGGTGACACTGTAAGTCGGCCTGCCTTTTGAAAAGGGGTCGAGAGACCTCGTACTAAAGAGACGGACATCGTGATATGCCAGTAGCTTTTTAGCTGGTTGAGAAAAAGAACTAAGGTTCGAATAAGACCAACACGGAATTAAACCCGAGAACTACATTTATATGTCTTGGAGGCTGCAATCTAGAGCTCCGGCATCGCGATGCCGTTGCCGACACTCGTGGCACATTGCCGTTGAGGTCGGCAATTTGACCAAGCGTCAGTGCCGGCAGCCGGTCCGTTGACCGGAACGGCACCCCACCGCTTCTTCTTATCTGGATGCATGCTACCAGCGGGGGAATTCCATGTCCAAGAGTATTTGCCCAATGTTGATTCGCAATTTACTTCCACCGTGAGTCTCTTTTTGTTTGAATCATCAAAGCGATTAGGGTTTTCTAGTCTAGTCCCTTCGTTAGGACCTTCAGTCCTTACCATGGGTACCACGGCCTTGGATTCCGTCAAGGATATAACCTCGGGAGCCGCAGGAGGTGTAGCACAAGTTTTGATAGGTATGTCACACATCATCATGAGTCTTATGAGAAGGAAATTAGCTAACACTACCTTGCGCAGGCCAACCTTTCGGTAAGCCTAATGCTCTCCATTCTCCCTCTTTACTAAACAAAGCCTTTTTCAAAACAACACGAGGCCGTGTAACAAGTTCAATTACTTACCCAAGAATCGCAGACCTCGTCAAAGTGCGCCTTCAAACCCAAGACGGAGGAGGCAATGCCTTAGGTCTAGTCCGCAGCATCTGGGCCAAAGAAGGGCCCTTAGCCTTTTATAAGGTCAGCTTTGACAACCTCTAGTCCAGGAAATCAGAAGTTGACCCTCAATGTTCAGGGTACTCTTGCTCCGTTACTAGGTTTCGGTGCTTGTGTAAGTTACAAGCCCCATCTGAGACACGAACTGTAGTCTGAACGTGTCCAACTTCGACTAGGTCAGTATACAATTCGGCGCTTTCCAATTCTTCCGCCGCCGACTTGAGGAGTTTCGCGGGATCGTTCCAGCCGACGCGAAAGCGAGTAGCAAATCACTCTCTCTTTCTGATTTCTACCTCGTAGGAGGAGTCGCCGGCCTAACCAACAGCATCATCTCCGGACCGATCGAACACGTCCGCATCAGGCTCCAGACACAACCCAGCAGCGCGGCGCGCCTATACTCTGGCCCCTGGGACTGCGTGCGCAAGATCACACAGCACTCCGGCATCAAGGGCCTGTACCGCGGGCAGGTCGTTACTCTTCTCAGAGAGTTCCACGGGTACGGCATCTGGTTTGCCGCGTATGAGGGGGTCCTGAGCATGGCGATGGCGAGGGAAGGCATCAAGGATAGACGAGATCTAGCTAGCTGGAAGATTGCGGTTTGCGGAGGCCTTGCGGGCGAGGCGCTGTGGCTTGGGAGTCACCCGCTTGATGTGATCAAGAGCAAGATGCAGAGTGATGGGTTTGGAAGTGAGCAGAAGTACTTGACTATGAGAGACGCTTTCCGTCAGACTTGGAGAGATGGTCGGTTTCGGGGACTGTTTCGAGGACTTGTTCCGGCGCTGTTGAGGGCGATGCCCGTTTCTGCTGGGACTTTTGCAACGTAAGTGTTCTCACTCGGCTTCATCGTTTTGAAATAGGTGTTATTATGCACTATTGGGTATTGACTAACACTCACTTGCAAGGGCTGAACTTGTAAGGGGGGCTCTCAGTTGAGACATCTCAACCTAGACATGCCCCATGGGATAAAGATACATCATATTCGAAGATGATATGTTGCGACTTTTATAACTTCTGGATAATAAACACCCTTAAAGGCTCGAAGCACTGAAGATTGCTTCTAAATTCCCGTATTATTCCGCTGCCCCGTGAGACATTTCGTGTATACCCATTTCTTATCTAATATGTGCCGTTCGCCTTTGGATCATTCTTTCCATGAGGTCTCAATCCCCAGATGTAAATTAACTCCTCGACTGACTCTGCATATAATTATCATCATAGAATGCACTCCGCTTCCTGAGAGCCGTGTTCGGCGAGAGCGCCGTCTGATCAAAATGGAAAGCGTTGCCGGTGACACAGTGCCCGAAATCGGCTACGGTGCACATTGTTGTAAGACCTCACCCGACGAAGTCAAGAGGGGTTGGTGCATCTAGATGCAAGATGACGGAGTTATTCAAATACGCTTCATCTGCCATCTCTCCAATGAAACTTTGAGTGGTTCACACAACCATCATCTCGAATCCGGACAGCGCAGCAATGCCTCCCGCGAATCCCAATAGCCAGCGATTTTTGGCCCTGTTAAGCCAGCGAGTTTCAGCCATTCATCACGCCCGCAATGCATCTCTTACACGCTCACAGTCTCGATACATATCGTCTGCTCCAAAGACGCCGGAAACACTGCCGCCACATTCCAAGTTACCCCTGAAGATTCTGTTACGGTCTCTGTTGGTGGCGACCATTTCTTCCCATCAGATCTTGCTGGGCCCGTCTCTGGCCATTTTGAAATTCCTCAACGGCTCACACCGAAGCCGGATCTTTGATGTGCAGAGAAACCCTCTACTGCACACTATACTAAAAAAGACCATGTACAACCACTTCTGCGCCGGCGAGAACCGACAGGAGGTGACGTCGACGATTGCGGAGATCAAGCGGATGGGTTTTCGGGGAGCCATCCTTACTTATGCTCGCGAGATTGTGGTCGACAACACGACAGAGGAAGAGAGCGGCCGAGGATTGAGGGAGAAATATTCCGTTTCAGAAATCGGATTCGATGCTGGGATCGACGCCTGGCGTGAGGGTGTCTTGGAAACGGCGGATATGCTCAGTGGAGGAGACATCTTGGCCCTCAAGTTGGCGTCCCCGATACATCACCGTCGAATTTCATTATTTGCTAACCTTTTCCTCCGACTGACTGGTGCCGGTGCCGCCGTTTCAGAGGCGCTCGCGTCGAGAAAGCCACTCCCGGCGCAGATGGAGTCAGCCCTTTCAGAAGTGTGCTCTCGCGCAGTGGAGCGCGGAGCACGCATATTCATGGACGCTGAGCAAATATCAGTACAGCCTGGAATTGATACAGTAGCAATGGAACTCATGCGCCGCTTTAACACAAAGAGAAGAGGGGCCGTCGTCTTCAACACCTACCAAGCCTATTTGAAGAGCACGCCAGATACCCTGGCCCAGCACATGGCGTTAGCTCAAAAGGACGATTTCGTCCTCGGCATCAAACTGGTCCGCGGTGCCTATATAAGCTCGGAGCCGCGGCATCTGATCAACGATACCAAGGAAGCTACAGATGATTCTTATGACTCTATTGCACGAGGGCTGTTGTCACAAGCGTACAAAGACTTTGGCATGCCGGATGGGAAGTCTTTCCCGAGCGTCGAGTTATTCCTTGCAACGCACAACAAGAACAGTGTGTTGAAGGCCAACGAGCTGCAACAAACTCGCGCCAAGAAAGGGAGGCCCTTAATCAAGATTCAGTATGGGCAGCTTCTGGGCATGGCTGATGAAGTCAGCTTCAGTTTGCTGCAACTCGCAGACCAGGGCACCAAGGCAAAGGGCTCAGGAGGTGATGCCCCTATAGAGGTCTACAAGTGCTTAAGCTAGGGCTCTCTTGGTGATTGCACGTCGTATCTCTTGCGGCGGGCGGTAGAGAACGGGGATGCTGTGTCCCGTACAAAGTCGGAATTTATTGCGTTGAAGAGAGAATTGTGGAGGAGGCTTACGAGTTCTAACTGATCATAATAGAGATGATAGAAATCAAAATCGCTGTGCCACACTCCTGTTGTAAGGTAGACTGAGACGAAAAAATTCCTTACTCTCTCCTATCGTTTGTCTGTCTTGTGTTACAACTGACTACGAGGTTAAATAATGATAAGGTCGTGCTGTATGATTTCTAATCTACTAATAAACACAATGGCATACCCGTGCACCACCGTCATGAAGTCGGACTGGTTCTCGACCTGGAGTTTTCTCACTGGGCTGGCTTGGAAGAACGGGGAGGATATTCACGAACCGATCAGTTAACGCACCTCAGCCATGGTTCAAAACAACCAGTTGAACTTAAGAAAGACAGGCTTTGTAAATAAAGTAGTGGTCAGTGCCTCGACCAGGGATCTCATCCCCCGGCTCGAGAGCTCTCATTACCCGTGCTTTATCCGAGAGAATGACAGAATGGAACCGAAGCTCCCTCCAAACGAGGGGCTGAGGTACCTCTATTCACAGCCTGGAGGAGGTACCTGCCACCAAGCCCCACCATCCCAACACCCAAAGCCACCGCGCAAGCTACAAAACGACATCGTCACATCTAAACAGCGCCCTCAGATCCCATCATACCTCTCACCCCGACCGCCCCCACCCTTTTGAAAGTCGACATACAAACAACACTTCCGACAGACTCTCACAAAATGGCAGCCAAAGGAGACAAGATTGAAAAGATCATCACGCGGCTCCAAGCCCGCATCGGCGAAGGCCAGTTCTACGAGGCCCAGCAGCAGACCCGCGTCGTCGCCGCCCGCTACATCAAGGCCGCAAATTGGCCCGCCGCCACCGATATCCTCTACAATGTCGCACAGTCCCTGCTAAAGGCCAAACAGGGCGGCAGCGGTGGCGATTTGGCCGTCATGCTGGTTGATGTCTTCAAGCAGGCCGAGCTCAAGCCCGACGCCGCTAACAAGGGCAAACTGCTCACCCTCCTGCGCCTGTTTGCGGCCCAGGAGCCGACGAGGAAGAAGTTTATCGGAGAGATTATTGCGTGAGTAACAAACCTCTTTGTCTGTTGTTTGTGCGCAGTGTACAGCGGAGGGAAAGACGATCAGTTTGTTTTCTGACTATGGGCGTTCTCTCTGCTACAGATGGTCATCAAAGTTCGGCGAGTACCCCGCCGGCGATGCCGACTTCCACCACGTTGCCGGATCCCTCTACGCCGAAGAACACGACGCCTACGAGGCGGAACGACACCTGGTGCTAGGAACAAAGGACTCGGCCGAAGTGCTCGCAAAGATGGAATACGTCTGGTACAAGGAGGACGACTCGCACACGGCGCCCCTCTACGCCGCCCGCGCCATCTTCCCCTACCTCCTCGTCGGCAACGTCCGCGCCGCAAACACCTGCTACCGCCTCTTTGCCTCCTCCCTCAGCGAAGACAACAAGGGCCTCGGCGTCCAGGACGTCAGCAGCAACAGCGCCGACCTGCGCATCTTCCCCGGCCTGCCCCTCCTCAACTTCCTCGGCCTGCTCCTGCTGGCGATCCAGCGCGGCGCCCCGGACGCTTACAAGCAGCTCCTGGCAAAGTACTCGTCCAACATTTCCGAGGTCAGCGCGTGGAGCGAGGCGCTCGAGATCATTGCCGAAATGTACTTTGGCATCTCGCGCCCGAGGCAGAGCAATCCGCTCATGGACATGATGGGCAGTCTGTTTGGTGGTGCCGGTGGTGGTGGCGCCCCTCAGCAGAGACGCCCCGCGACGAGACGGGTGGAAGCCCCCGCGGCTGAGGGCTTGGATTAGATGATGTTGTTTTCCGTCGATTCGGCGCAGATGCCCGTCGTGCGTAAGAGCACGCTCGTAATGAACCAGACGTTGAAAAATATGTGTCAATAATAGTCGTGGAGGCAACAACCGGGATGTCCAGTCGTTGGAAATTGGCGAGGCATCGTGTTCAGAAGCCACGGGGCAGCTCCGGCTCAGCTTCGTACATCCAATTGTCGTCGGCGAGAGCCGCGACCTTGGCTCGTAAACTGGCTTTGACGGCTTCGAGAAGCTCTACATAACACAGGAGCGGATTAGAAACCCCCCTTTCCTCCAATGGAGAGTTGGACACAGAACTGTCTCGGACAGGGGAGGACTCACCTTCAGGCTGTTCACGGACGGCGGTATGGTTGACCTGATGCTGCTTCACCGCCTCTGCGAGCCGCTGCCGCTCTTCTATAAAAAAGCATAGTTAGCATTACACATGAAAATCAATACCCCCTTCAACGTAATCAGGAAAAAAGAAAAGAACAAGAATATAGATATGAACAAGAATCATGAAGTAATAAGCAGCATAAAAACTTACTCTTGCTCTCCTCCCGATCATCCATAGCAGCAGCCTCATCAGCCTCGTCAAACACCAGCGTCGGCAGCTCTCCAAGCTCAATCTCGCCGTGCTCGTCGCGCACCACAATCTCCACGGGTCCCATTGCCGACGGCGGCCCGCCGTCAGAGAGAACGTCGACGTCGAGGCGGAGCGTCTCGCCTGCGTGGCCATTACCAACCGTCGAGGAACCGCCGACGCCGTTGCCGGGTCCTCCTCCTCCAGTCTCCATCGCCGCACCAGCAGAGGCGGATACTGATGCCACCCCGCCCGCGCCGCCGGCCGTCGAAGGCATGGTCTGCCCCGTCGTCGTCCCCGTCGTCCCCGTCGCCCGCCTCGTGAGGCCCTGGAACAGATTGCGCCGGACCGCTCGTCGCGGCGCGCTGGGCGGAGGTACCACCGGTCTCGAAGCTCTGTCTGCCATTTTTTTTCCCGTCAAACCTTCCTCCCTGGCTTTCCTTGGCTTCTGTAACTGTTGTTCGAATGTGCTGTGTTTGGTGTTTCAATGTCGGCTTATCTCCGTTCTTCTTGTTTTTGATACTTCCCTCTCCCGGTTTTCGGTTGTCAACGTGGGTGGGTTAGCGTAGTACTGCTGTACGACTCAAAATCTCAATGCGTAAAATAAGACAAGGATGTTGGATGTTGATTCTTCCCAAATAGGTTGGATCGCGGATGTTTAGGTATGGGGCTTGAGGTTGAGATGCGCCGTCCACGTTGCAGGCCGCCCCCTCTGTTTACATTTGGAGGTTGAGGTCGTCCAGGCACCGCACGCAATAAGGTAGTTATCGATAAGAGCAAGTGCGGATAGCCCATGCGGCAGGCAAACACAGTGCCTGCCTACCTTATTGCTGCAACACCCAACACACCACCGACCTCACTCACTTCATCACTCACACGATCAAGACGAATTTTTGGCACAACTAAAAATGAACATCATGTACTTCATTGACAGCATTTTCGCGTAAAACTTTTATGTTACAGAACCATCCTAGCCTGGACATGCATGATTCCCATTATGTATCGTACATTAGAGAAAAAAACTCCCACAGCCGTGACGAAGACCTCCAACCGATCGATACCCAGGTTTCCCAAATACACACAAGAGAAGAAGACACAAAAAGCCGGTAGAAAAGAAAACGCCGAGATATGCATACCCCGAACCCAACCCAGTCGTAACCGCTCAAGTCCCTTTTTTTTGTTCGACATTGCCCTTGCGAGTTTCAAATCAAAACAAAAGACAAAGAGTCGCAATAAATCGCAGAATGCTCATCCCACACATACCCATTCGGCAAAGACGCACCAGCGAGCGGTGCGGTCCGCCAACACGAGTCCCCTCCACACACCCTTCTCGGAACACTTGATGATGGTCTCCCATGTGCCACCATCACTGAGATCCTCTTCAGCTCCTCTGCTGCCGACACTGACTCCCCTGCGTTCCTCTTTCCGCATAAGACGGAGGATCTTGCCACCCGGAGTCTGAATCGCCAACTTTGCTGGTTTCTTTCCACCGGCAGCGGCTGAACTGAGGTTCGAGCCGCTGGCGCTGGAGGCGGTCATGCTCATTGCAGAGCTCGGCCGCATGAACGGGATTGGGCTTGCGCCCCCAGGATTCGATGATGGCGTCATCACCGAACCAGCCGCGCCCGCAGAGCTGGGGTGCTGCCGGATTGCGAAAACAAAAGTGTTGTTCAGAGCCAGGCGTTGGCATTGAGGTTGAACAACGTAGATATCGTGACGTTGCGCATGAGGCGTCGGGTGCCGCGTCACAAACTCATACGGGGGGTTCTCGCCCGTATGAATAATTGGTAGCGCAAATGCCACTGGATGAGGAATGTCCTTGATGCTATGCATCAGACCACGCTTGCCGGCATAGATCTTCAAGACTCCCTGGCCCTCATCACCAGGCAACAGAGCCTTGATGGTGTATCTTTTGGTGCCGTTGAACCACTCCGCTTGCGCCAAAGCTCTCTTCTTCACAACTTCGCCGCTCTCAAACACATCGCCATCGACATCCCTGGTGTAGCCGCGGACTTCGACCTCAGCAGCAATCTCGACATCAGGCGGTGCGTTGAACTTGACATGTACCATCTCCAGATCCTCGATACGAGTTGCCGCCGTGTTATAGTCGACCATCTCCAGTGTGTTCTTGAAAAACGGGGGGCAGGCGCAGGGCAAGTTCAGAAGAACTTCATGGGCCTGTGGCGGGCACATGTGTTGTTGAGTGTGATGTTCAGGGATATGTGTCCAGCAGAGTTCTGTCGGCCGTGTAAGGAACCACCAAAAGTCGGCAGCGCTGTTGCTAGCGCTTGAGTATAGATGCCGCCTGGGATATGAAGGACTGGCCATGCAGCAGTCAATCATCCGCCAGTCATTGTCGACCAGGACCGCATTCCACCAGTGGTTTGCGCGAGGCATGATATTGTGCTCTGGAATCTCACCGGGCGTCTTAAGATACCCGCGGATGACCTCACACTGAATACCAACAGCAGAGCACATTTCGTACACTGTGACTGCATACTCTTCGGCACTCGCTCGCTTTGACTGCAAGACTCTTCGGGTGTCGACTTGCCCTTCAAAATCCTCTTCCCAAACGAGCTTTTCGGATACCCAAGTGAAGATTGCCCGCAGTCTCTGGACGTCGCTGCGGTATGGGCGACATACGTATGTTGTCGCCAAGCTCTGCGCTGTCGTCGTTGGCGGGAAGCTGGCCACGAACCTTGAGTTCTTGTCCACCTGGGTGAGGTTTAATGATTGATAGTCGATGGGGTCCTCCACAGGCAGACCATCCGCTCCTTCATCGCCCTCCATGCCTTCGTACAACTCATCGACTGGGTTCAGTGCAGGGTAATCGAGCATTTGGCAGCGGTCTTTCCGCTCGTTCCTCTCGTTCTTACTCAAAGAGTTGGATCGATTGACGTCTCTGCGGACCTGAACCCAGTCCACTCCGTTCGCAAGACCCATTTCTCTGGCTGCTTCCCTACCGAAGCCAGTGCTACCCATGTTGGTCAAGTTGGAGACGCTAGCACCAGCTTGAGCGGCAACATTGGGCATGGAGCGAGCAAAAGGCGATGATCTGGGCGAGTCGGCACCCATGGCAATACTACTGCGCCCGGATGCCACCCCAGTCTTGGCTGTGTCGAGGAGCTTCTTGAAGATGTTCCTCTTTGGGGGTTTCGGGGTGACGAGGCCCCCAAGACCCGCATCCTCATGAAAGCCAGCTTGCGATTTGGGCCGGGATACTTCCGAGGCGTGGCTGCTATGGTATGTGACACCGGTGAATGGGGTTTCAGGGCGCTCGATATCAGCGTCCCTCATGCCCAGGGCACTCTGCGCACGCTTTTGGGTCTTGCGAGCGAAACTGCCGGCGCTCGTTGCGCTAATAGCGCCGGCTGACGACCCACTCATCAAACTCCTGTCGCTGCTTTGCGTCGTCGAACTCTGATTGCCTGAGGAGGCGCTGGTAGAGTTGGTCTTCGTCGTAAACGTCCTGTTCAGGACGTTGCGGCCAATGTCGTAGGCCGACTTGCGCCCGCGAAGCTTCCTCTCCTCCGGTCCACCCATCGAAGACTTGGGTCTCTCGTATAACTGGCCTTTGGGGGGTGGCTTCGGTGCCTCATCCTCAAGGTCAGCCATACTTGCGCTATGTTGATGCATTTTTTTGAGACGACTTTCCATACGTTCGACGTAGTTACTCAGTTGAGGTAGCTGCTCTTTATCCTCCCGATGTCCGTTGTGATAGGATTGGTCTCGTGACGATCCGCCGCTCCAGGTTTCGTACCCTTCGTCCTGTTGTGCTATGCCCATAGATGTCTGTGGTCTTTGGTAAGTGTTCTTTCTCCTAGCGCGGTCATTAACCATGTCAAACGACTCGGGTGACCACGGATCCAGTGGCGGCTCTGGTGTCGGATCTCGGGGCATCCCGAGGGCGTCCAGCTGCTCGATCACGCCGTCCATTGCTTCCCGCAAAGGCGACGGGGTCATGTGGCTTGCTGACGGCGAAGGTGGAGCTGGTGAGTGATGCCGTTGAGTCTGTATCGGTGACGGCCGATGGGCTTGGTATGAGAGATGCGAGCCGTGCCTGTCCAGGGGGGGATGACGGTCGTCGTGTGAGGCACTCGAGTCTTGACGCACGATATCAAATCGTTTGTCAAACGAGTTACCCGACCCATGTCGACCAGCATGGAAGCGATTGTCATAGGAGCCATGAGAGTCCTGACGCGAGCTATCGTGCCTACTGTCGTAGGATATGCTTTGCTTATGTCGCGAAGCCGCTACATGTCGGTGCGGAGGTGGAGCCGGGGGTGGAGGGGAATCCACCTTTTCTCGAGTGGGAGGACGGTAAGGCTTATAGCTCACGGAAGGTGCCGGCGATGGACCTCTTGAGGAGCTGAAGTTGTGGGATGGCGGTATGGGAGACGGTCCCCTTTCCGTGTTGTAAGAGTTCTGTCTTGATCCGTGGCCGTGGCTTTGGCTGTGGCTGTGGCCATGGCCGTAGTCGGGGACGGGTGTCCTTTCTCTTGGAGGTACTGGTGTTCTCTCCCTTGGAACCGGTGTTCTTCCTCTTGGCACAGGTGTTCTTCCTCTCGGCATGTACTGCTGTTGCGCGCCATCGTTGAAGGAATTACCCCGCGATACGTAACCGGTTGGGGCTGGCGACGTGTATGCTCGCATTCTAGTCGAGGCAGCATCATTGAAAGAGTTCTCTCTCGAAAGGAAGGTTTCCGGGGCCGGTGACCGATCTCTTTTGCTTTGCTCCGCCATTGCACTGTGAATCGACTCTCCAGAGTGCCCTCTAGGCCTTGGGTTTGGGTTCGTGCGGTACACCTCGGGCTGTTTCGCGGCGGTATAGTGCGGTGCTTTGGAATAGGCTTCGAAGGGCTTTCGGAAAGTCCTTGACTTTTGAGGTGTGCTTGGGCTCGGCGTGTTCTCTGCTGGAAGAGGGCTGGCTGACCTCGTCGTTGGTCTAAAGTCGGCGGGGAGGACCTCAACGAAATTGGATGGAAAGACTCCCACAGTCCTTCTGTCGCGCCATAGTCTACCCGTCCACCATGAACCATCTCCAGCGTTGAGACATTCGATCAAGTCACCTTCGATGAAGCCGAGATCTCGTTTGGACTAGGGGAATTCAAGTCAGTATTTGGAAAGCCAGTCCCCTCAAGGAGGCTCGAACAGCTGCAACAAACCTCTCCGCCCCAAGAGTAGACTGCTCTGCACCAGCACGGGAACCGTGTCGGTAGAGACTGTGGTGCAGGCACCATATTGAAGATTTGACAATTGCGCCCGCAATCGAAAGGGCTGCTTGTTCGAATGCTATTATCTGCGTGTTGATATCGAGTGCCTCAGTGGTTGTTGGCGGAGCCTGGCACTCGGCTCATGCAGTGACAAGTTGATTCGACGCGATTGTGTAAGTTGCAATGAGGTATCGTGACAGCCATGCAAAGGTGTGTGCGCGCGCAAAGGCTGGTGGCAAGGAATGATGACAAGATCGAGCTCCCGCAGCGAAGCGAGAGGCAAGCGAGAAAGGACTCTAGGCTCGTGGGAATTTTTTTGCAAGGCTCTGCGAGTTGTTGTTGAGGAATGCAGGTGAGGCTCGCGTGCACGGCGACAATGACCTTGTTTGAGTGGGTAAAGGTAGTTGGTAAATGCGTCCAGTGAGGTGGGCAGGGGAGTTGACGTGTGGGAGATGGTCAATGTTGGCGGAACAAAGTACAAGTGGAAAGTCGATCTGTCGGACACGACTTCCAAGAAGGGGATGCGGTGAATGTCAGCGAAGCCGGGGGTGCGGACCCGGGGCAACCAACAAACAGAGGGGCTCGTTGGCGGGGAGACGTCGGGAGTCTCCAGAGGGAGTCCCAAACACTGGCAATTGTAGTGAACAGATACCTACCAGTATGTGTACAGTACCTGCAATCGGAGGGCAATCCAGGGCCTAGGCTTGGGTACCTACCTAAAGGTAAGTAAGGGCAAGCTTGTAACGGGTTGCGACCTCCTGTGCGGCTGGCGCATCTCCACCGGCGACTAGTGGGGACCCTCTCGGTGCCTCCTTGGCGCGGCGCTAAGCCTGGCATGGCACATCTGAGGCCCCTGGACCTTGGAGAAGTCTTGGAAATCTTCTGGTCACCGCCTGCGATGCCGAAAGCAATGACCATGAGTGACCAAGTATTTCGTGCTACGTACCTGGCCTACGGAGTACTGACCTTGACGTGGGCGAAGACCCCATCATCTTTCCCACTATTAACCTTCTCTTCAGCTTGCCTGATCCAAGTCGTGTTATCACCCGGCTGTCTACGGAGTATTACGTCGCAGATACACAGATGCGCGAGGTGGAGTAAAGTATCGAGGTGGATTCTCCCTTGCAGTACGTATTACTCGACGAGATACGACTATCCGTATAAGCCTGCAGGTACAGGTATTGGGTGGCACATTGTCTCTGCCAGCTTCGGTAAGGGAGAGAGTACGGAGTACCTATGTAAATCAATCCCAGCCAACTTGTATTAGTCGGTAAAAAAGGCTTGTCTCCAAACAGCAATCTTCCAGGACTTGGAAGGACCTGGAAGATGAACCTAGGACGACAACGCAAAAAAAAAGGCGAGAATGAGGCGTGGGTGAGGATGTTCTCTGTAGAAAAAGCAGGGGCACTCGTAAGCACGTTGTTTTAGTGCGATGAACAACGCAGCGCCGTCTCGTGGGGAGGCCCTGCATACCTTAGCACCGCACACCACAAAGTCACCACCAAATTTGTCTGCCGCCCACTTACTTCCGTTGGCAACCAGAAATCTGCAAGGCAACGCAGCTAACGTTCGCCGCGTCGAATAAGGTCGCAGGAAACTCCAAGGCAAGACAGACTGACGGGCGACAGGAAAGTCTTCAAGCCGGATCAAGGTCAAGATCAAGGTCACGCTCGCATCCTTCATCACTCTGGCATGCAAACGACGCAAGCACTCACACGACAGCTATCAGTGAGCACACTTCTCTCTAATCACTTAGCACACTTTGCATTCTCGCCCGTCCTGCGGATCCGTCTTTTCCTCTGTCTCTCTCTCCTGCATATCAAGCACTAAACCGCCAACCACTCCCACATCTTATTCCTCTCCTCCGCTTTCTTTCTTGTTCGCGATTCTCACGATGCTTCAGAAACAACGGCTCTCGACCGATCTCTTCTCGCTTGCTTTTTTCGTCGCAAGATCGGCTGACTCGCCCCGGTTCATAGTACACTACAAAGTACCCCCCCTGGTGCCAAATTGCGGTTCCCCGGAGCTCCCCCAGCTATACCAAAACGGAAGAAAGTAAACAAAGGGCCCGAGCTTTGCGACGAAGCACCGCCCAAGTTCCCAGCGCCCAACTCCCGTCGACCACGGCACCACGGCCAAAGTGGCAAGGAAAAAGACCACTTTCATCTTTGACCAGGCCCTGGACTGCCGCTCGACAACCGAACAAGCGAACAAGCCCGCCCGCTACCGCCGCTGTCCCAAGCAACCAGACTGCTGCCGATCCGCTTGCTTTATTAAATCCAATTGCTTTTGGTCCGCCCTAAATACACAAGCCAGGCCGTCCTGACTGACACACGACAGCCCGTTCCCTGGATACCCATTTCTTCTCTCGAAATTCTCTCCTAGCATCCTGTCGCTTCGCCCGCGCAACTCTCTCCTCGAAATCCCTCGGTCTAGGACTCCCGGGTCGACCGTCGCCAGCTCCTCCCTCCCTCCCACTCCATCTCTGCTGCAAGGAATTCTGTTGAGCGAACAAAACGATTCAATGACGTCCAAATCGGCCGCGATGGCCGACGAGGGTGTCGCCGAACACTATCAGGTTCTGGAGGAGCTCGGTCGTAAGTCTTGCCGTTATCTACGTCCTTTTGGGAGCAATTGCGCTGACATGAAATGCAGGTGGAAGTTTCGGTGTCGTTTACAAGGCCATTGAAAAGGCCACCGGCGAAACTGTCGCCATCAAACATGTAAGTCGACGCATCGCATCTTCGACTTGGTGTCCTACAGATAAACTAACAGAGACCTGCGCAGATCGACCTCGAGTCAAGCGAAGATGACATTCAAGAGATCCAAGGCGAAATCGCTGTGCTGAGCACATGCGCGAGCTCCTTCGTCACGCAATACAAAGGCAGTTTCCTGCGCGGCCACAAGCTCTGGATCGTCATGGAGTATCTTGGTGGTGGTTCATGTCTTGACTTGGTATGTCACTTGGCGCAATGATTTTGCCGCAGTTCGGCTAGCTAACATTCCTCAGCTCAAACCTGCCAACTTTGCCGAGGTCCACATCGCCATCATCTGTCGCGAGCTTCTTCGCGGCCTCGAATACCTTCACGCCGAGGGTAAGATTCACCGAGATATCAAGGCCGCCAATGTGCTCTTGTCCGAGGCAGGAAAGGTCAAGCTGGCCGATTTCGGCGTCGCCGCTCAGTTGACCAACATCAAATCCCAAAGGAACACCTTTGTGGGCACTCCTTTCTGGATGGCCCCCGAAGTCATTCAGCAGGATGGCTATGGTTTCAAGGCAGATATCTGGTCACTTGGAATTACTGCCATGGAGATGGCCAATGGCGAACCTCCTCTGGCGCATATCCATCCGATGAAGGTTTTGTTCCACATCCCAAAGAACTCTCCTCCTCGACTCGAGAACAACTTCAGCAAAGACTTCAGGGATTTCGTTGCACAGTGCTTGGTCAAAGACTCTGACCGCAGACCCTCGGCCAAGGATCTGCTTCGTCACCGGTTCATTAGATCGGCTGGCAAGGTTGAGGCTCTCCAGGAGCTGATTGCACGCAAGCAGATGTGGGATGCGAACCAGAATCGGAGGTCCCACCCTACCTTTTACCAAGAAACCCTGCATACCATGTCTTCAAGGGACGACACGGATGAATGGGTGTTCGACACAGTCAAGTCAGTGGCGCCCAAGCGACCGAATGGTCATGCACGGAAGCCCTCCTACTTTGCGGCAGAAGAGGCCATGCGCCGGCTCGACCCCAAGGACGCGCCGCTCGGCCCCTCCTCACCCGCTCCCGGGACAGTTCGCCGGTCGACTGTGCGTCGCCAGCCCTCGAGCCGCCAGAGTTCCGGCACACAGATCCAAACAAACGGCTCACCTCGCTCGACAGTCGCCAGGCGGCCTTTACAACCAGACATGTCGTACGGCAACTCTGGGTCCTCCGTGCGGCTTTTCCGCCGGGTGCCATCGGATGGCTCCGTCACCGCTTGGGAGGACACTTCGCCTGAGGGGACCATGGGCAATGAGAACAAAGCACCGATGCGAGCAGCCGCCATCGATACTAGTAGCAAGGAGGCACTACTCGGGCGACGACTATTTAACAGGGTCCTGGACCCTACCCTCGCCGAGCTCCACGCGCAGACGTCAGGCATGCAGAGGCGGGAGGCGCTCGCAAAGCTTACAGATGCGTTTGCACTTCTGGACTCTGTTGATCCTGAAGGTGCCTACCATCTCATGCAAAACATGATGACGGCTGTCTCCCAGGATCCCAAGCTGAACCAGGCCTTGATGCCCCAGCAATCGATCAAAATCCCATCAGATGGCACACCCCAAGGAACGGTCATCATCAGGAGCGCCGCTCCCACGCCGTCAAGCAGCCCGACCAAGTTGATGATGGCACCAAACAACCCGCACCTAAAGAGTCATAGGAGACGCAACGGGTCGATTGCGACACCAGAGTCTGCCGAGAAGGAGCGCAGCGAGAAGACGGCCGTGGAAGCCAAGTATCCCGGCCGCCCTCCCAGGCCCGGCATGGAGCACTGCAAGCAGCTATCGGACGTGCTCTACGGCCGATGGACGGAGGGCTTGAGAATCAGATGGCCAGCGGTCTAGCTCTGGCCTCGTTTGACGGTCATCTGAAGGATATGGAGGAGAAAGATTGACACAACATTATTATTCACGAGAAACATGCTGTATGATGAGAAGTGTATGAACACGTCGCAGCATACTGGGTTGGACAGTACACACGAAAAGCATTGGGAGAGAGTTTTCATTTCAGCTTTTGGCAGATTGAAGAGTTACCATCGGGGGTTAGGATTTTTTTTTAAAAAAAAATTCGGGACGAAGAAGCTGATGATGGGGTTGACTTTTTTCCGGCGATGATGTTTACTTTCACGACGGGATGAGTATCTTTCACACGGCCGATTCGGGTTCTTGTTTGCTGCTCTGCTTCGCATTCGGTTTGGCGTTTTTTGGGTCTTTCGTTTGGTAGTAGTTTAGATACCTCCTAGGTAGCGTCAAGATTGCGTTTTTTTAACAATGGAAAGGGATTCATTGCACTACATTCAAGGTTCCCGTTGCGTGAAAAAATTTGTGTACATGTATGTTAGTATCGTAATGTGATGTCTGAATTAGCCAAAGAGCAGTATTCTATGGCTCCTCCAGTGGGACATTCTTCATGGAGAGCTTTATTCTCCAGTTGATGAAGTCGTCCGTCAGGAGCTCCCCATGCCCGGCCTCGTCGACTTTGAAGACCTCAATGGTGGGCTCGCCTGCCCGCCTGCGTATCCTCCACACACCGTCGTCGTTGATTGTCTGCCGGAGCCCTGCGGTTTGGAGTAAGTGGCAGCCCTTAACATACTCAGGCAGCTAATAGAGCAAAGTAAACCCGGCAGGGAACCCAACAGGAAGGGGCTAAAGGGACCATGAAAAAAGCAAGAGAGTAAAACGAAAAGGGGCACTCACAAACGAGAAACTCGGCGGCAAAGTTGACGCACATGTCGCCGTTCCACGTCGCTTTCCCACGGCGCTGCACGGTATCGGGAATCTTTTCCGTCTCAATCTCCTCAACGTCGGTGAGGATGCCGTGGCGGTTGCGGAAGCCGACGATGATCTTGGGGACGCCGAGGAGGAAGGACTGGATCCAGAACTTCATGAGCTTGCGGTGGAAGTTGTCGACGTCGCGGTCGTCACGGAGGGCAAGGCTGGTCTTGAGCTCGACCCAGTTTGTGGGCGCGCCTTGTTTTTGGGGTTTCGAGTCCCAGACTTTGGAGTGGAAGCGAATTGTTAATATCTCACTCATTCTCTTTGAGAAGGGGTCCAACGTACCGGCGTCGACTTCGCCACCAATGCAGATTACGGTTTGTCCTATGCCTGTTCTGACTACGGAGCAGTACTGGGCATTGTTGTTCACGACTTCTACGTCTCTGTTCTCGATGTATTCTCTAGGCGTTTCGCCCCAGGTGTCGGGGAGCGTGGCCAGCGTCTCGAACTTGTATCCTGATCTCCTATCAGCATGTTTGATTGCCCTGGCAGAGAAGAAGAGGGCTCTGGTGTACACGTACCCCAGAACTGCATCACTTCGGGCGGGATCGGTCCACGTCTCTGCTGTGCGTTTTGCTGCTTCTGAGACGCCACTTTGTACTCGTGATTCTCTTCAATGTAACTATTTCATTTGTCAGTCTGATTAGAAAGGGTTGGTCGTCACGGCGTTTGCTTTGCTTGCCGTACATGCAATCCTGAGTTTTTCTGGGTCAGCTCAGTCGTTGGTTGTGGAGGTTAGAGGAGTTTGTTCATGCGCACTTGGTATAACGTTGCGTTCATTTCAAAGCTGGCTGTGCTGTCAGTTCCAGTTCCGGGCATCGGTGCAGTTCTCTGACAATGGCTGCGAGACTAACCCGTCACGATCTTCAAAGGGCGATGCCATGATCTGTTGTTTTGGTCAGTTGAGACTGAGAGAGATAAACGCGGAAAAGTGCCCATACCTTGGTCATCATACCACGCCATGTCACGATTTGGGCGTCAATCTTCTGCCCCGTCTCCTCCTCATGAGCTTTGATGGTCTTGAGTAGGGCTCCGAGGTGCTCGGGCTTAGAGTCGTCGTGCTTAATGAAGGTATCGTAGCCTTTGGACAAGTCGGCGCCGAGGGTCGGTGGGTAGTAGTATCTCAATGAGGAATCGCCTAGATGGAATTTATGGTTATCGTCATATGAGAAGCAAGCAAACTCCTGGCCTGTGTTAGTACGAAGATGTAAATTGTTTTCATGAATTCATGAGAGTCATGTTGATGAGATATCCACCACAACAATAAAGACCGATGCATACCTTTGGTCGTTTGACTGGCTGGCTCGCGGCATAGAAACGCCCAATAGGCTGGATGGGAAATTGTTCCGACATGACGGCGGGTGTTGTAGAGTAGCGCTTCGGTCCGGAGTTCAAAAGGCGACGTATTATCCCAAGGGGCATCTCATTGTCGAAGAGACGGGATGAGCAACGGAATCGGTCGGCAGCCCCGGTCTCAAGCTTCGGTGTCGGGAGTTGAGAAAGGAGCGTCTGCGGCGTAACGGCGCGTCGAGACGGCAGGGCGGGTCAATTGGCATGGAGCCCGCCGTCCGGGGTTAGTGGAGAATCGATGTCGACCACTGAAGCGAACCACTGAGAGTCCTGGGTGACATCCAAACATCGCTGAAACATGCATGCGAACGGCTGGGCTAGAGCCATCCGACACCCCTAGCTGCAGCGGGACGCCAGCACCTTGACGACCCAGCTCCGCCCACTCCAACCACGAATACAACTTCGACATCTAGGCATCCTCACCTCACCCCCTCCGCCCGACCACGACTGACTGACAGCACGATTGACTCGATAGCAAGCGGCACATTGCTTCTTCAAACTGATCACCACTCCCCACCACACTTGCCGGCCTTCACTCCCTAACGACCCCTCATTCGCGATGCGATTCCCCTCCCTACCGACCTAAATCGCTACACATACCTGCTCCCTCACCATGTCCAATCGGTACGGTGGCGGCGGCTATCGCAACGGCAACGGATATGGAAACTTTGGCAGACGCGAAGAGGACTACGATCCATACGGCGATGGATATTCAGGCAGCGACAGAGGAGGCGGAGGCGGCGACCGATACGCCGTGGGATCCCCGCCAGCGATGAACCCCCGATCACCACCCACACTTCGAAGCGGCGGCCCGCCGCCAATCCGCAGCCGTGAGCGCATCCAGGAGACGAACGCGGAACGACAGATTGGCCAGGTCCTCGAGCGCGTCAAGGTGGAGTGGCCGGCAATGTGCCAGACCGACTGTGTGCCCGTCCAGCTCGCCCTCCAGCTCCTCGACACCAGCTCTGTAGGCCGCGCGCACGACTACAACCAGTTCCGACAGACGCACGACTACCTGCAAAACTCCCTCAAGGGCATCGTTCACGAGCACCACCAGGGCTTCAACAGTTCGATCGGAACGTTCCACAAGATCCAAGGCAGCATCCAGGCCTCGCAGAAGAGGGTGCGCACGCTCAAGGACTCCCTGCTGACGTCCAAGGTGAGCCTCTGCACGTCGGACCCGGACCTTAAGAAGCTCTCGGCCACGTCGCAGGCTTACGATGAGCTGCTTACCACGCTTAACGAGCTGGAGGAGCTGCGTCTGGTGCCGGATCAGCTAGAGGCCCGCATTTCCGAGAAGCGCTTCCTGAGCGCAGTCGAGGTCCTGCAGAATGCCCTGCGCAAGCTGCGGAAACCAGAATTGGACGATATCGGTGCGCTCAGTGATCTGAGGGGCTACCTTGCCAACCAGGACACAGCACTCATGGATATCTTGGTTGAGGAGCTTCATGAGCACCTATACCTCAAGTCGCCGTACTGTCAAGAGCGGTGGCAGAATCTTGCCAAGACTCAAGGCGCTCTCAAGGAGGGCAATTACGAATCGATCACCATCGCTCCCTTCCACCATATCCTGGATGCCATGGATTTCGAAGCATCGGCGACAGAGGACCCGGCTAAAAACCCGGAGGCCGACACCTTCTCATACGTGTCTCTGCTTGTGGAGTCCCTGAACAAGTTGGGAAGATTAGAGACGGCCGTCGACACCCTCAAGCAGAGACTGCCTGTCGAGCTGTTTACCATTGTGAACGAGACACTTAACGAGGTCGATCAACGGCATCCCAGCTCATTACGCGGCGGCTCGACCAATTCTCAAGGACTGCATATTTACGGCAGCCGAGAGACCCAAATGAGAGCAGACGTCATTTACGACTTGCTGTGGACGTTGTTTGGCAAGTTTGAAGCTATTGCAGAGGGTCACCGTGTCTTCCACGAGGCAATCAAGGCCCTCATCCGACGCGAAGGTGCTGGAAACAACAGCGCCCTGCTGGGGAGCTTCAAGGAGCTCTGGAACCTCTATCAAAACGAGATCCGTTCTTTGCTGCACAACTACGTCACCACGGACGCAGATGTATACCAGTTCAGTACATCGCCAAAGCCTGGGGCCAACGTCAACGGCAAAAAGGACGCTGCTAGAGAGCACCTGTTCAAGTTTTCTGAGGGTGATCCTAAGGCTGTGGACATGACGACAGAATATGAGGCCCTCGAGAGCATCATTCGATCTGCTGTTCCCGGCTTGACCGACACTTCTCGAAAGGCCGGAGCTGATAAGAAGCGGCCAGTCGAGGGCAGTACCAAGAGAGGAGGAGGGGCCACAGGTTGGGAGAACAAGCAGACAACTGGTACATACAAGTCTCTGGTCGAGCCCAGCGTCTTTAACATGAGCTTGCTTCTCCCTCCTACACTTGTCTTCCTCCAGCGTCTTAAAATGATTGTACCACCGGGCTCAGATCTGGCCACTAGCACGCTGACGTCCTTCTTGGATAACTTCCTGGTTAACGTTTTCCAGCCTCAGCTGGACGAGACTCTCGGCAAGCTGAGTGACACCATCTTTGGCGAAGCCGATACGTTCTTGCAAGACCAGGAATGGACTCAGGTTGCCAGACGCCCCGTCTTCAAGGGCACAACAGCTTTCTTTGCCATTGTCACAGCTTTCTGCCGCATGTTGGGTACCATCCCACACGATCAGGCTTTGAGCACACTCATCATCACCCAGATGATGAGATACTACGACCGTGCTTTTGGATGGTACAAGTCACTTGTGAGCAAAACTCAGGCGCAAGCAGACAAGCCCACAAAGCTACGCATGTCGGCAGCGATGGCTTTGGAGGAGGGAGATGTCCAAGAAACCATAAAGCAACTGTGGACGTCGGATACACTGGAGCGCGAACTTCTCGAGAAGGAAGTCGGTCTGCTCATTGTTCAGACCAATGAGAAGCGCATGGAGATGGCCGACATCATTCAGGACAAGGACACCATTTCGTCTCTTTGTCTATTATACACTAGTATGAAGTGGCTCGCAGTCAAGATCTCAGGTCTGCGTCACATTACTCGCAACGAATCCGACTCTTCCCGTCCAAACATAAACCGAGGCTCAAGCAAGCGGTGGACGCTCATGAACGACCCCAACAAGGCCACAAACGAAGATGGACCTGTGTGTCTTCCAATGACACAGGAGACAGTCCAGTAAGTTCTCTCCTCTTCTCGGAGCCCAAATACCATATTTGCCTTACTAACATAAATATCAGGGCTTTCGATGGAATCGTCTCGTCGTTCGAAGAACTCGCCGGCACCGCGCTCTTGACCCTCCATATGGAGATCCGATGCGAAATCATCTACTCCCTCCGCACCGCCCTTTCCACCGACACGGCCCCCTACCTCCTCGACCAAGAAGTTACGGAGCCAGATCCGCAAATCCTCAACCTCAACTCGGACCTCGTCCTCTACGATGAGACCATTGCGCGGTACCTCCGCGCCAAGGAGACGGCCTTCATCCGCACTGGTCTCGGCCTGCTGATCAACGACTACCTCGTCACCAACGCCGCCTTCGTCTCGCCCATAAATGCAAAGGGGTGCGGCCGCATGCAGCTCAACATCTTGGTCCTTCAGCAGAACCTCAAAAACGTGGAGGAGGGCGTCGACCTTGCGCGCGCATCAAACTACTTTGCCCTCTTTGACAAGGGCCCCGACGCCATTGTAGAAAAGGCCAGCGAAGACAAGGACAAGGACGAGCACGCGGACCCGTCTGACACGTTTAGCTACGAGGAGTTGAGGACGCTGCTGGAGCTGTGTTTTAGCGAGCAGCTTTCGAACCCCGAGCGGGGGATCGCGAGCGCCGCCAAGAGGCAGATGGCGGATAAGATGCTCGGGCTTAGTGAGCACATGTGGCAGACTTAGAAGCACTGAGATCCTTGAGAGAAGAAGAGAGAGTCGTTTAGTATTTACATGGCTGATGATGTGTAGATGGTCCCAGCGTGGTTTGCTGTGGTTTAGCTATACTTGGGGTTTGCGAGGCGTTCAGGAGAGGGAAAGGGCAGAGAGAGAGAGAGAGAGAGAGAGAGAGAGAGAGAGAGAAGAGTGTTGCTGCCATCATCTGGACTCGACCCCTCCTCGTGGTTTCAGTCCACCACAAGACTGCGATTTGCAAACAAGAGATGTCACTACCTACCATCACAGTATTTGGGAGGGATGGCATCCTACAAGTCTTGGTCAAATTTTAGGGGGGGTATTATTCTTGTAGTCTATAGCTTTTTTCAATGCCAGCAAACTTTTCCCAACCACATGTACACGAAATACACATACGCACACATTTCATGAATTTTCCACATCGTCTCTCTCTCTTTTTCTCTTTTGTAATCCAGTAGATCACGCAACCCAGACTCTAAGACTCACAACATCACAGCACCGCCCATCCTCTCACGAAGAAGCAACGAGATCTCTCCCCCTGTTGATCTGCACCTTCTTGTCCTCGCCACCGCTGACCAGACCCCACGTCTGATCCCATGCGAGGCCAAACACCTTGACGCCCTCGCCGCCCGCAGGCGCCTTCTTGGCCTTGAGCCACTCCCGCCCGACGGAGTAGACGGCCTCGCTGACGCTGCCACCGCCCTCGTCCTTGGTCGCGGGCCGCACGCTCCGCAGGTCCCAGATCTTGACGGTGCCGTCGTGCGACGCCGACGCGAGACTGTAGTCGTTGTCCGGGGAGGGTGCGAGCGCCGAGACCATGTTGGCGTGGCCGCGGAGGATGAGGACCGAGGTGGCGGAGGCCGAGGCGCGGGGGTCGAGGAGGGTGACGTGGCGGGCCGAGGAGCCGGCGGCCACGAGGGAGGAGTTGCGCGGCATGGGCGCGAGGCAGAGAAGCGGGTGGAGGGTGGTGAGGGTGGAGACGACGCTGGCGGTGGTGAGGTCGAGGGTGCGGAGGGTGTGGTCCGCCGAGACGGAGTAGGCGACGGTGGCGTCGGTGGGGTGGAAGGCGGCGCCCGTGACGGAGGCGTCGGCGTGGGCGTGGATCATGGCGAGGGCGCCCTTTTGCGGGACGGTGACGGACGAGTTTGAGAGCTTGGCGCGCTTGACGCTGCTGGCGTGCGTGGCGGGGATGTCGTCGGCGTCGACGTCCGGGCTGCCCTTTTTCGAGGCGAGCCAGAGGCCGACGCGGCCGTCGGCGGAGGCGGTGAGCATCTTCTTGGAGGCGCCGTGGACGGCGAGCGAGTTGATCATCTTCTTGTGGCCGTGGAGCTCGAGCGTGGGCTTGAGCTCGCCCGAGAAGCGGTCGGCCGACTCGGCGTACTTCCACACGACGATCTTCTGGTCCAAGCCGACGGAGGCGATCTGCGACGACGAGAGGAATTTGGCGTCCGTCAGGAGCTTGGCGTGGCCGCCGGCGCGGGCCGAGGGGGAGGTCGCGAGGCACTGGCCGGAGCCGTCCCAGATGCGAACGAGGCCGTCGTAGCCGGCGGAGAGGATGCGGTCGTGGCCGTGAGCGAGGGCGTCGCCGGACCAGCGGCCCGCGGCCGAGGTGGCGGAGAGGACGTCGACGGCGGCGACCCAGTCGTCGTGCTCAAAGGATGCCTCGTAGACCGGGGGCAGCAGACTGCGGACGTACTGCAGGGTGAGCGTCGTCTCGAAGGAGAGACCATTCTCCTTGAGGTATTCTTCGATCGTGGTCCGTAGGTAGGTTCCGTTGACGAGGAAGTCGAGGGGCACGGGGGAGGAGGTGTTGAGCATGGACTCGGAGTTCAATATCCTTGAGAGGCCATATCGCTTGATGTCTATAGACGAGTTGCATACAGTTAGATTTTGTAGAAAGCCATTGGGATGAGAGATTCGATCGCGTGCGTACCTGCGGGCACAATCAACTGCCTCTTGCTCTCGTCCAACTGCAGGTCTTCATGCGTTGTCGTGAAGTTCACCTTCACCTGGGCCACTGAGGACTCCATTGCGACGAGGAACTGAAGTCTTTTCTTCTTCTTTTTTTTCTTTCTTTTTTCGCGATTGACTCGAAGCTTCCGTGCAAGGATAGAAATCGGACCTCAAGTTCGTAAGTATCGGGTGTTCGACTGCTTCTTTCCCTGTGAAAAGGTCACTTCTTAAGTGGTTTCGATTGGTTTGCCGTGTTGAAGTTCGCTGGTTGAGAGGTACGACTAGACGGGGCACTTCCAAAAAAAAAATTCGAAGCTTGCTGTCAGCCTTGCAGGAAACTTCCACCCCCGCCGAGCCAAGCCTGCCCAATCATGGCTCCAGCGCAAAAAAGGGACCGGCGCTAGGTTCCCCAGGCTGAACACTGCCCCGCACCCGCTGACTTCCGAGCACCAGGGGGGGTGATGATAATGGCTGCTGAATGTATAACATTGTAAACGACCGACTCATTCGCAGGCTTACCCACCATCGTCGTCGAATGCAAGGTGGGAATCATGGCATTGATGGACTTTTCCGCTGCTCGAATCATTCGTTCGACTACGCAAATCGCCATTGTGCACGAGGTTAGGAAAAACTTGAGTCTGTTTTGAGCTACCTTGTCGAGATCGGAAACCTTGATCTCATATCCACCAGGGCTTTCGCCTGGTCCATTGCCAACCCATGAACCATTTTTAAGTAATCATACATACTGAAGGCACGCTGCATGGAAAACGAAGGACCACACCCGCCATGTCAGCATCAGTCGGGCTGGTTTAGACGGCGTTGTCAGGAGCAGCTTGCTCCTTGCTCGCCTCCAAGATAAAGGCTTCCTCAATGGCGGACCTTCGGCGGAACACCCTCAACCATCGCTCACCCCAACGGCGAAGAAGGGCATCGCGTTGACCGGCTCCGTCCACATCCTCCATCATCTCGTCCTTGCTGCCTGAAGCCCAGCTAACCAGCGCATCCTCCATCGCTTTGAAAAGATCGCGCATCGCCTTGGTCTCTCTCTCCTTCGCATCCTCATCAGCCTCTGCCTCCTTGGTCAGAAGCTGTCTGACGCGGCCAGTCACCTTGGACACGGTACCAAACACCAGCTCGAAGACGTGAGGCTGCCCCAAAGAATCGCCCGAAGATTGTCCCTGAACGTGGCTGCCTCCCGAGAGAGCCCACTCAATGACCGTGATGGGCAAAAGGATTGAGTAGTTCAAAAGCTTCTCGACGATGGAGATTGCAACACCGGGCTGTGCCGCCCAGTATGACATGACTGCGGTGATGATTTGGGACTTAGCCGCCTCAGATGCCGCGCCAACGTCGAGCAGACGATCCTTGGTGCGCTCGATACACGCGAGCACGTGGCTAAGCGACTTCGACCCGACCCAACACACAGCTGTGACGAAGACATCGGTGCTTGTCACCAAAGGATCCAAACTGCGCTCTATCGCAAGTGAGTGGATCCGTTCGATAATCGGCTGGAACTCTTCGTCAGGTGCTTTGCGTCTGAGCAACGCAGCGATCTCGCGTCCCTCTGCAGAGAATGGCGTGCCTGTCGTATCTGTCAGCCCACTGAACTGTTCGCAATCGCAGCTTATCACTTACTCTCATCACTGAACTTGAAATCCGGAACATCCTTTTCCTTCTCGGGCCCAATCAGGGGCTGGTATGGCTCGGGCAGTGTCCCCTTGATACGCTGAGCGAAACTGAGCCGGATTTCCTTGTCCAGAGCGCCAACGATGAATGCCTTTTGGGGGTGTAGGTCAGGCAGATACACGTCATCAACCCACTCCGTCCACTTCCAGGTGAAGCCAAAGTTGCTCAAGTGATGTGAGAACCAGTCAACAAACCTCTGAGACAGCTCCAGGTCGATTCGGCTAGAGTTGCGATACATGTTGCGGATTGCTCGACCCAAGCTGGGAGCGATTGCTGCAGGCGCAATCTTGCAGGCCTCGGTGAGAACCGAGTGGTAGTAAACAAGCTTGTGCTCCGGAACTGGAAGCTGGAAGAGTTGCGAAAAAACGGCATCAACGGCCACATCCTCGGGCTTCCACGTTGAGCGACCAGTTTCGACATCTCGAAGTCTGTCAAAGGGGGTCGCACGCTTGACGAAAGTTGAGTCGGAGAAGTAGCAGTCTAGGTCAATGAGATACCGCGCAGTAACGTTGCGGTTGAAGTCGAGAATGTTGATCGTATCAACCAAGCCATCTCTGACCAGCGACGCTGCAATGTCCGTGACAGGCGGGACAGACTCGACTTCCTGAGTGCTGTAAACCGAATAGTAGACTTCGGGGAACAGCGGTCTTGATCCAGCGACAATCTTCTCGGGGACTGTGATGGTAGGAAGGGCATGCTTCGTGGCGTTATCCAGCTTCTCCTGCGCTTCAATCTCCTCAAGGGGCAGCTTCCAGGGCCTAGGAAGGCAAGATAACTCCCAGCCATTGGCCGCTTCATGCTGCAGTTGCTTTTGAAGCATGCCAATAAAGCTCATGGAACCGGTAGGCTGATCTTGCTTTTCGGGAAGGTATGGATCAATCAGTACCTGCAGGGCGTGAGGCTCCGAGGCAATGATTTCGGTCTTGTCCATCAGGTCGGCGGCCTTTTGTTGCCATTGATCGGGTGCTGCTGACATGATGTACGGAATTGTGAGAAGAATGATCTTCACAAGCTCGGTGCCAATGGTCTGCCAGCATGTTAGTAACTTGGGTCACCGTAGCAAAAGACGGACGATGCCTACGTCATCAGAGCTCGCGGTTTGCAGGTCTACTGCTCGGCCGAACAGCTCCTCGAGGACGGGGAAAATTCCCTCGCCGTCCAGAGAGCTTTGTAGGCATGCAAGCAACTTGAGATAGAGCTTTACATCTCTCCATTCGCCTGCTTGGATCTTCTCTTGAGTCGCGGCGCTCAGTTTGGTGAGAACCTCATCCACAATCTCGGGCTTGAGCGTGTTCACCAGAAGAATCACCCCAGCGACGAATGGCGTCTTGAGCGGTTGTTCTAACGAAAGCTGTAGCACGAGACTAACGAAGCTCTCGCGGAGCTCTGCGTCCTCTGCGTTGTCCGCGACGACGTGCGCGATGCCTTGGACCTCTTCATGCCAGCGTCGGAGCGGGGATTCGGCGAGAGAGAGAAGTTGTCTACGAACTCTCACAGGAAGGGGTGCGGTGTCGATCCTTCGTCGCGACTGTCGGTGATCGTTGTCATCGTCGTCTGTCGTGGCCAGAGTTAGTGGGTGAGATTGCGCTGAAACAGAGACAGGGCGCACGATGGGGAGAAAAGCTTACCTCGATACCTTCTCTTCCTATTGTTGTAGCCTCCACCGCCGCGGTCGCCACCACCATGGTGACGTCTTCTCTCGTAGTCGCCCATATCAACCGGCTACGTTTTGGATGATTGGGCAAGGTTGAATGTGGTGATAATGTGTATGAGAAGGTCAATTGGTAGACTGGGGGCGAGATTACTTTCAGTTGCACGTAGACTTGAGGCAGGATCCACGTCGAAAAGTGACGGAGGAAAGACGCGAGCTTCCCCTGCTAGCACCTGTAAGTTACCTTAAGGTAGGTAGGCCGCGTCTATTGGCCCCGGTGGCCCCTGCCTGCCTGTCTGTGAAAACCATCAGGCGCTTGCGTGTTGGCCTGAGGCAGAATTTATGTACCACCCAGACGCAATGAGAGATACATCCAAGCACTGCCATCTCACTTGTACCTCCAGGTCGCGTGAATAAGGTAGGTACATTTCCGCACCTCAACTACGATTTTTCCGAGCATCACTATACGTCCTCATGTCACTACCCTGTCGGTCAAGAGATGCCGGCTGTGAGCCCAGAATGAAAAATAGAGTCGATTGCCTCACAGTTATTCTGCTCGGTCACTCCAAGCCAAATTCATAACAGCAGTCTTTCCCAATGTCTGAGCAAAGTAGCCAGTCCCGACCCTTTTAATTGACCTCCTTGGCTCGCCATCGTTGCGTTGCCATGAATAAACAGAGAAAGCTAAAATCTTTTCCTCGGAATCATGCCTAATACCAATCCAGACCTACCGCCCACATCTCCCACCCAACGGGAGAGGGCATCCCGACTCCAGAGCTTCCTCCTTTGTCTACCAACAACCATGAGAGGGGTTCATCCCGCAATCGCACGTAGTGTGTCTTCCACGCACTCCCGAGTTCTGATAATGGAGGAAGTGTCGCCAGACCATACTGAGTGACGAAAAGACGAAGAAAGGTTAGGCTGAACCGTCCAGACAATCGTTTGCCAAAGCGTGCTGAAGCGTTTTCGGTAACAAGGTGAAGAACAAAGTGAAAGCCATCCCGAATCCTGCATCGTGATTTAGTCCAGAATGGCGTCTTTTGTAATACGCAGCAATGCAGCCTCCCATGGAAAGGTGGCCATGTATTGCAGAGTCCGCAGGCATGCCTCAATGGCCCAGTTCTTGTCGTGCCTCCTCTACACTGTAGTAGAAGGGCTGACACTTGACGACGCACAAGACACCTCGCAAATCCTCGCCAGTAAGCCTTTGCGCTTCGAGCAGTCGATGCAGTCCAGCTTCCAGTCATCATCGCACATTGTAACATCTCATCATCACTTGGTCCGTCGTCCGGTCGAGGCCGATGCCCCTACGCTTCATGCATGAACTCCATCTCGGTGTGCGCTGGTCGAACGATAGGCTTGCAGCCGAGATAAGTCGGGAACGATCCACAAGTGCGCTGAGTTCCTGGACAAGTCTTCGGCTAGCTCAATCCAATTTGGCCATCATGTCGGCCTTTGGAATCGGAGTAAAGTTGTCAATGTCCAATCCTCTTCCTAGGAGTACGGGCTTGATGTGCGCGGGTACCAGCTGGTGGTTCAGGTTCGGGGCAATCGACAATTCTATCAGACTTGTTAGAAGAGGCGAACTATCACAATCGGAGAAGAGCACTTACCATGGCGAGTGAAGTCGAAAAGAGGTGGCAGATCCCGAATTTCGCCGCTCTGGTGTCGAGAATCGGGCAGTCTCGTGCTCGGGTCTCTAAGCTCATCGAAGAAGGGATGAACCATGGCTTCCACCGCTGCTTGTCTCTCGGTAGGGGTGTACTCAAGAAGGCGTGCGATCAAGTCGATGGCATTCGCATCTGCCTTCCTAAAGACCTTAGCGAAAGGGTGCGGCTTGATCTGTGGGAATTTGTGTTCCATGTAGTTGGGGTTCATGGTGCGAATCTGCTCTCGTGTTGGCGTGCCCAGAACCTTGATGATCTCGACTAATTGATCAATGCCTGACTCTCCAGGGAAGAGAGGTTGACCGAGCATCAATTCTGCCATGACACAACCAGTGGACCATACATCTGTGATAAAAACGTTAGCATCGGGGGCCGGAACCGAAGTCGATGAGCTCACCAATCTTGGTAGTGTAGTTTGTGGCACCAAAAATCAGTTCTGGTGCACGGTAGTATCGAGAGCAGATATACGACACATTTGGCTCGTTCTCGACCAAGATCTTGGCGCTACCGAAATCGCAAAGCTTCAAGATGCCTGAAGTAGGGTCAAGAAGAAGGTTTTGAGGCTTGATATCACGATGGCAGATGCCTTGAGAGTGGATGTAGGCGAGAGCGCGGAAGAGCTGGTAGATGTAAAGCTTGACCTCGAGAATGGGCATTGTCGTCTTCATCTTGTTGAAGAAGCGGGACGCACGGTAAACGGTCTCGGGCACGAATTCCTGGACAAGGTTGAGATACACCTCGTCTTTCTGTTTCGTGTCAGCAAGCATTCAGATCCGAGAAAAGGACAATGCATACGCGTTCGCCGTTGGAATAGTAAAAGGCCTTCAACTGTACGATGTTGGGATGCCGGACAATCCGCATGATTTGAAGTTCTCGGTTCTTTGGGAAAGTCAGCATGCCGCCGCGAGTTATGTTCGATGGGCATCAGGGCGAACCTTGAACCTCTTGTCCTGGAGGACACGCTTGATAGCCGCATCTTCTCCTGAGGGCGAGAGCTTGGTCTGGAAGACGACACCAAAAGAGCCGTTGCCGACAATCTTGCATTGCGTGTACTGGAGATCTCTCGTTTCCCCAGTGATCCCGTCCTGGACCTTCTCGCGAATAACCTCTGGTGATCGCGTTAGTACGGCAGGGTAAGGAACTGATTTCGAGCTGGCTGGCTGTGGCTTACCTCCCATTCTGAGAGTGTTGAAGGCGGCGGGGCGATTCTGCGCCATGGCTCGGAAGGTGTTGTCAGCACGGCAAAGCCCTGCTATCGTTGGCCGATGTTGGGCGAGTTGAGATCGAGAGTAGTGAGGGGTAGCGGATCCGAGACTCGAAGGCGGGCCGTGATGGGCAGCGGAGGACGAACTATGCTTCGCTGGCGTGGGATTCGTGCAAGGGTGATTGCACGAGAGTGAAGTAGGGAGCCGACGAACCAATTGCTTGTTTCGAGAGCCAAAGAAATGGATGCAGGTGTGGTCGCGAGGTAGGTTGTAATTGAGAGCGGCGCCGGTAGCGGATTCGCGTCGGGGATCGGTTCAGTCTTGCCCGCTAAGGGAAATCTGGATTTGTTTCAGAGTCGACGTTGAGCAATCTCCAAGGAGCTGGCGGATGTGTTCATTAGCTAGCCGTCCGACAGTGTAGGAATTTGAACAAGTTGATCGTGGTTGATAGGTTGACGACGGGCAGGGTACTGAGCGTGTTGTGCGACGAGCAGTGATGAGCGAGGATGACGGATGGTCGAGGGGTGCGGGGTGGGGAGGTATTTTGACAGGGAGAGGGAGAAATGGCAGGGCAGGGGAATATGAATGATGGCGACGATGCAAGGCGAATGGTGGCAAGGCGAGGAGCAGAAGAAGCGGAAGTATTGGAAAGGCAAGGTAGCAGCCAGAGGAAGAAGAGGAGGGCAGAGCAAGCCAGGACAGGACGAGTTTAGGACAAGACAGACAAGACAGAGAGGATAGGAGGGGGTGGGCAGTGTAGTGTGTATATGCGCTGCGCTATGCATGCAGCACGCAGTGAGGTGATTTTTCGCTCAGGCAGAGGGGAAAATGCCAGGTACGTGCAGCCCGGTAGTGCGAGGCAGCTACAGACACCTTGGGCGGAAGAATTTGGCCACAACACACCTAGCAAAGACCACTTCTCTCGCGTGTAGGTGAGCTGCTGATGACGGGCCGAGAAATAGGGCAAGATTCGGCGGATTGCGGTCCAGTGTTGTCGAGGCGGGTGGTAAGAAGGGTGAAAGGGGGACTGGGAAGGGGGAATGTGGTGATGACGGCACAGCACGTTGCTGAGGGGCAGGGCAGGCGGACCAAGCAAGCAAGCTCAAGCATGGTGATGTTTCTGCCTCATGGGACACGAATCGGGAGGAATTGGATGGGGAGGGCTAGCTAGAAGGAGAATGGCAAGATTCACTTACAATGACTGGAAATTGTCGACAAAGGCAGGATTGCAGGAAGACAAGAAGATGGCAGATTGAACCTTTCTCCTCTCGTGGTGCTCAAAGAGTAGTTGCGGCCGGCGGCTACAGGCAAGGTGCGTTACGAGAGAGGGAGAGAGAGAGAGAAATGGAGCAGAGGCGATGACTGCCCTGGCTGGGTAGCTTTGGTTTGCTGGGGTGGGTGGTGTGCGGGTGCGGGTGGGCAGACGGGAGACAGTGCTTCTTCGGGCGGCGAAGAAGGATCGTGAGATTTGGAACCGAAGTCGTTTCGAGGACAGATACGTGTGATGGCTGGTAGCTAGCTGCTTGGGGGGGAAGCTTTGCGTTGAGGGATCTGTATATTTGGAGACGACGAGAGTCGAGGCGAAATGCCAGTTGAAAGTGAGAAGAGGAAGAGCAATAGACGGAGGTGGGAAGTTTGGTGAAGTTCAGGTCGGGTACCCAAGAGGTGGGAGAAGGAGGATGTTGTCACGCCGTTTAGAGAAACGCGAGGTGGGTTGGTTGGTGGGAAGGAGTGGTCGGTGGTGGAGACGTGGATGAAGTGGGCAAGGACCAAGGCAAGGTACCTTAAGGAAGGTATCCGTGAGGTAGGTGGGAAGGCACGGTACGAAGTAATGGAAGGTAGGGGAGAGGTAGGGAGGTACTTTGAAAGAGGGGCAGGCCTGGGGTGGATTGTGCGTCTTGTTCTTTGGGCTTGAGGCCTCGCGGACCACACGGCAGGGCAGACTAGCGCGCAGCTGGACGAGGAATGACGGAGTGCGTCCCAAGTCCAGTGACTGGACAAGGGGGGGTGGCCTAAGGTACCTTACCTATTACTTCGAGCCTCGAGGTACGAGGAGAGGGAAAATCAATCAAATAAAATAAAATGCATCAGAAAATGCATAGGGCAAACGAATTGAAGACATCGTCGCTACCTTACCCAGGTAAGAAACCTTAGGTATCACTGCTGCTTGCCGTGACTAGTGCGACTCCGTCAGAATACGACAACTCCATCAACTTTGCACTTGACAATTCTCTTCTCCTCAACCTATTATCAAGTCATGTACGATCAGAGGCCCCTCATGGTAGATCTTGCGCGGACTCTTGTTCCCGGCCTTTCCTCCTTTTGACCACCTTCTTCTCGTTGCCCTCCTCGCCAATTGTCCTTCTCCTGGCGCCCGAGTTGCCCAGAATCCTAGAACTGAATAGAGCATTGATCTCAACACTGGTAGTGTCAACGGTGATTGTTTGGAAGAAACTAAGTAGGCAATTCAGTGGGAGATTTTCACAAATGCCAACTCCCTGGACAGCTTCCTTAGGGTGTGAAGGCCAAAGCAACAGAAAGAGTAAAGCGGCTCTAGGAGGTGCCAATAGAAGACCCCCAGCTTGACCATCTAAATCACGATCAAGAGTGAATGTGTACATGAACAGAAAGTAAGATGGTGAATGCCATATGATAGTCCGTACAGCATGGGAACTACATTCTTAGTCGACACAACGTGATGTAGTCTAGGACATGTCACGGAGAACGTGAGGGTGCCGTTCTCGAAGGAGCAGGCCGCGCGGGGTTCAGAGAGGGGCGGCGGAGGTCTCCAGGGTATCAAGCAAGGTAGGCCGGCGTGCGGCGTGCCGTGCTCGTGCCGGAAAGTATGGAGGTGCTCAAGGTTGACTGCGGTTCGGACAGAGTGGCGTTTGAATCGTGGGTAGTACTTTTGATCATTAAGGGTAGACAGATAGCTTTCAAACTTTGGCACTGGGGGTTTGTTGCGTTGCAGTGCCAAATGGTATGGTTTTGTCGAGTCTCAACTCAAGTCAAACCTTGAGATGATCCACGGCACCTTGCTTTTGCTTGAGGCAGGTTGAAGACAACCGAGTGAGACAAGGTCATACAATAAACCAGGCAATTTGTTGGAACTGATATCGTTGCCCTACTTTACCAACAATGGCAAGCTCGAAAAAGGCCGAGCAAGCAGTGATGAGCAACCTGCAATGGGCTCTGGTCAGAGAATATAGCACACAAGCACCCAGGAAAGCCACGAGAAGGAATCCAAGTAAACAAGTCTGGGTGCGTTTGGTGACCAACCCTGGAAGTTGATCGACCAATAGTGCCGCTAAACGGTAAACACGGACAGCAGATTCATCAACTCAAGTCGATAAATATGCCCGCCCACAACGGGTAGAGAGCAGATCAAATGGACGGTGCTTCCCTCGTACTGCGTGCATCTCGACAAAGTCATCGAGTCTTCCCTAAAAGTCCAGAGACCCTCCAGGCTGAGT